TTCAGACGAACTTTACCAGGAAAACAAAGGCAGACATCTGGGCTGTCCTGCCCTTATTGTCTTCTCCAAGTTTAACAAAAATACCTTATAATACAGGTATGAATGATCTTGGCTATTTTTAGACAAAATTTATTTTTTAAAATCCTGTCCCAAAGATATGTTTATTGATTTGAGAGAGAGAGAGAGAGAGAGAGAGAGAGAGAGACATTAATGTGAGACAGAAACATTGATGTGAGAGAGAGACATCAATCAGTTGCCTCCTGTACATGCCCGGACCAGGGATCAAACCCGCAACCTAGTTATATGTCCTGACTAGGGATCCAACCCACAACCTTTTGGGGTACAGGGTGATGCCCCAACCAACTGAGCCACCTGACAAGGGTTAGACAACATTGTTAAGATAGATTCAGAACTAGGGACAACTTGTACTGTAATGGGAAATGGGGAAGGTATCTTCTTATTCCCTGAAACTTTAGGAAATTTTTCCACTTTTGAGACTAGTTGGTTACCAGTGGTGAAATAGCTCATTTAAAACTTCTACCTACAAAGGGGTAATTTCACCAGGAGGTGGGTGGTAGGTAGGGTAAGGTAGGGTAGGGCAGGATGGGATGTTCTGAAAAGGACAAAGGACTAGGGGAAAGGGTGGGCTGCGAGGCATGGGAGCAGCACCCACCTGAATGCCACCCTAAGGTTTTACAGCATTGGAAGCTATGGGTGTTTGGAATGCCCAAGGGTTTGTGCGGCAGATGCAGAGAGCAGAAAGCTGGCAGCTGTATGGGAACTGGGTGGCTGTAGCTGGTATTTAATGGGTGTGAGTCCAAAAATGGGCTGGGTATGTAGGAAGTTGGCCACCATTTAGGTTTTTTTTAAAGTTCTTATAGTCTTTTCTTTCTTTTCAATTTCTTCTTTCTCAATATGTTCACTTTTTATTACACTAGGATTTCAGCTTTCACCTTTGTTTCAAAGATGTTTTCTTGCATTTCACTGAACACAAAGCAGACAGATGCTCCCTAAAATTTATTTCTGTTTCCTTTAGTGGATTTTCTTTTTGAGGGTGAGTTTTTCTCTGCATTGTGAATGTTGTAGTTTCTGCTTCCTTACTGCTGCATCTTTTCACAAATTTCTTCCCCGTTTAGTCGTCCTTGAATGTAGAGGTGAATGTTGCCTGGGTGTTGTCCAAGGTTCCCTTCACTGTCGCCAGGGTGTTGGTAGAATTTTCTCCTTATCTCACAAGCTGGAAGGATGGGAGTAGACTTGAACTTCTGGTACCAGTTATGCATCCAAAGGTACTTTATTCTGTGTCACTTCTTCTCTGGGTTTGCTGTTGGTGCAGTGCCTGCTTTTGTTTCCAGCTTTCTGTCAGGTCAGACCCACACGCTGGATGCACACGTGTGGCTGTGCCCGGTGTGTGGTGCTCCAGGCGGCCCTGTCTGAGGAAGGAGTCACACTGCTGATTTTCTGCTCATTGTGGCACAAAGTCTGGGACTTCCTGGGGGAGCTGATTTTCAGTGCTGCGAATCTGCCGTGCTGAGTGGGATGCTTTTCCTGGGAGCACCACTCTTGCCCTGGCCTGGGGTCGTGGTGGCCATATCACAAGAGATAGGAGAGTCTTCATGACTTGATATCTCCAGTATTATTAACAAGAATGAATATTAAGTGATACTCCATGTAATGGCCTCCATCATTTTGATTGTACTTTGACTGTGGTTAGTTCTTAAGTAGCATCCTTTAGACTATCACCTAGAGTCAAGAGTCAGGATTTGAAGCAGCACTTTCAGAAATGAGTGACACATTGGTATTGTGGTGCCTGGCCCCCTCTTCAAGTGTGTTTCCCCCCCAGTACTCCTGGGCATGTCGAGGTGCTTGGCACGTGGCAGGTGTGTCAGCCTGGGCTCGTGCCCTGGCCCTGGCAATGAACTCCACAGGCCTTTGGTTCCACAGGGCTTCTTCCTGTTGTCTAGACACTCCATGCGGGTGGTAGAAATCTAGGTTACAAAGCACTTCTATGAAATACAAGTGAAGTGAGGGTTAGAAGGAAGATGCTTTGGGTTCTGCTATCTCAGATATGTGATATTTACAATATTCTTAATGGTTTTAATTTCTAATAAAAAGCAGTGACATAGGACACATTTCTCCTACGAAGAGGAACTTGTCCTAGGAAAAGAAGTCAGTCATTTTCATGCTAACTTGTTTTTGTATAATTAGCATTATACTTCATCTACCACTTTTTAAAAACAGCTGATAAACTCCTTGTCTAGTTTGTAAAAGTTGGCTTGGTTAAGTCTGGGTCATGGATCCACAGTCCTTTTAATCCGAGACCCATGAATCTGCCTCCGTTCAAGGAGATTCACAGAATAGGTCACAAATGTTGCAGAATATGCCTTAGAGTTTTTGTTTTTAAAAAGCATTTTTAGATGAAATTTTGAATTTGTCCACACCTGAGAATCTATATGTTGGCTTCACATATACATGGCTACTATATGAAATATAGATATCTTGAATTATACCATTTTATTTTCAAAACTTCCTATTGTTGTTAAGTTGCTTTCTGATATTTGGCAGGCTAGAAGTCTATGGCCAGATTGAATTTTTGCTGCTTTTGTAAGTAATATATTTTATGTTCTCAAAGATTTTCAGGGTCTTTTCTGTATTCTTTGAAATAAAAAATTACAATAGCATACATCAGATGCTTTCATTTTTTGTTTCTGTTTTTATTTGACCCCTTTTCATCTGTTTATAAAGCTTTTTCTTTAGTCTAGGAAAACAGACTTAAAATTGATTAAAGTTGCCTGTGTATGGTTATTTCCTATGGAAGCCCCATCACAAGTAGGCAGGACTGTCGAATTCTTATTTCTATTCATCTTCTATTTTCCCTCACCATTTTGTATGTTTTGTCCTTTTCTCTTAGGTTTTGAGAACTGAGATGAATCCTATTAGAGATTCATGACAATTCCTGGTAGGAACTTTAAGGCCCAAATGAAGGGAGAAATACAAAAGTTTCCATTTACCCCCATTTTGCTTTGCCAGTTGACAGTTCTTCAGACAAGCTGGGGGGTAGTTGGCCCCTGGAGGTGAGAGGAAACATTACAGGCAGCCTTAGCCAGGAATGTGCTTTGCTGAAGAGCTTCCATTCCTTCTTTGGAGCAGTGTCTGTTCTTTGGCGGGCTGGCCATCTCCCGTGTACGAGAGAGTGTCTCTGAGCCCCTCCATGCCAACTCCCTGTCCTGCACGCCCTCTGAAACTCAGAACCCTCCCTAGCGCTGCTAAGGAGAGGCCAGCCTCACCTCCAGGGGGCCTGGGCCTCTGCTGAAGCGCTGCACATATTCCCCTTTGCCTGTTAGAGTCACAAATCAGGCAGGACTCAAACCGAACTTCCTCTGTATGTTACCTAGGAATTTCTTTTGTATGGCTGACCTTCTTGCCTACTTTTTAAGGTCTATCTAGAGTTTTCCCTTCTTTTTTATTGCTGATCATTTTCATGTGGATCTGGAAGAGAGTACTGTGCAACTTGCCAGGAAATCAAACTGTTCCCTCTTATAACTGCAAGTCTGAGGGTATTTTCAAGTCAGGAAGGTGGGACGAGCCTTAGCACACGGAGATTTAATAATGATTTTCAGTGTCCTGCTGAATGTTTCTCATCCGGTTACTTACGATGATTGTGGTTACCAAATAACAATGACAATAACAATCACAATTGCCTTTATAAAGAAACATCTCGGAAATGAGGAGGTGTGGGTCAGAGAGCACAGACTTCCAGTTATAAGATGAGTAAGTTCTGGAGGCCTAATACACAGTATGGTGGCCATAGTTAGCAAGTATTACTTTTGAGTATCAAATACTCAACAGTATATAGAGTTGCTAAGAGAGTAAATCTTAAATATTCGCACCACAAAGAACTGTAACGAGGTGAGGTGACAGATGTGTTAACTAACCACATGGTGGCAATCATTTCCCGATATATACATGTATCAGATCATCGCCCTGTGCACCTTAAACTTACACAATGTGATGTGTCAATTATATCTCAAAAAAGGTGGGGGGGGGGAAACAATGGCGGGTCACATGATTGATGAGACCATATCAATAGCCATTTGATTTAACATTTATAGCAACCCAGGAAATAGGGTGGCTGGCTCTCCATTTTGTAGCTGACACTCAGAGAAATTCAATAACGTGCTCGCTATTGATAGCCAATATGCTGTGACGCATCCCTCACATCCCTGCTCTTTTTTTGCTGCTGTCTGTCTGAAGTGCCGTCCTACCTCTAGGTCTCTGTGGTTTTTAGTGTCCCCAGTGAATGGGCTCTGATCATCCGTTGGCATTTTGTGGCCTGCGTACTAAGTCCCCCTCTCTGGGGGTAGCACGCGTTATCATTTCTCTTAGACTCTCTGGAACCGCTGACTAGCAAAGGGGAAGGTCTCGTCTCAGTGCCTCCTTGGTGTGTTCCCCACCCTCACTATTTTTTTAAACTAGGGTACTTAGCTGCTCTTAGGGAATTCTCCCTGTCGGAGAAATAGTTTGCCTCCATGGACACCTCCGTAGCCCTGTAGGATCATTTTGGCGGTTTAGATCTGCTCGCTGTCTGGGGACACCCTTGGGCCAGAAGGCTGCTGCTGTCCCTGGTCACTGTAAACAAAGCACCATCCACATGGCAGCATCTCAACTTGATGATGTTGTTGCTGCCGGTCACGCTTGACTACATCCAATTAGGACAACAATTAAAATCAGAGAAGCAGCAAAACCACTGATAATTTAGGGAACTCTTAAAAGATTAAAGGTAGCTAGAAAGTGTTGGTGGTGGTCATTTATTAAATGTGTGCGTTTATTTTATAACTTGCTCCTTGAGAAATACTGGTCAGCTCCATCTTTAGATTCATATTTTCCTCTTCAGTATAGTAGAAAAGTGAAAATATTTAATGGCTATAAAATGTGTCACTGTAATGATAGCGTTATTCTTTGTTTCATTTATTCCAATTGCATTATGTCTTTTTCCCTGCCAGGTTACGGTCTTTGGTCAAACAGTTAGAGAGAGGAGAGGCTTCCGTGGTAGATCTCAAGAAGAATTTGGAATATGCAGCCACGGTGCTTGAATCTGTGTACATTGATGAAACCAGGTAAGCTGTAGACGACAAGAAGTCAGTGCAGTGATGGTGACTCCCCTGTTTCATGGCTCTTCTGAAATGTCCCATGGCATGAATGGGGTAGATTTGAGCACCATGTGACCTCTGTACCTCCTCACCTACAAAAAGGAGCTCATATAACACAACTTACCTCGCATGGCCAATATAGTGATGCAGTGAGACCAGGTAAGAGGGGAACAGGTAGCTGTAAAAAAATCTGGTTAGGTTTTTAAAAAATATATGAACAGTGAAAGGACAGCAAACTCAACAGTTACTAACAACCACACCTAAAACAAAAGCAAACTAAAAGGACAGCTAGATCAGGAGCAGAAACATAGAAATAAAGATCTCATGGAGGGTTAGCAATAGGGGAGTGGGAGGAAGAGAAGTGGGGAGAAGGTACAGAAAATAAGTAGCATAGATGGTAGGTAGAAAATAGATAGGGGGCAGGAATAGTATGAGAAAATATAGAATCTAAAGAGCTTGAGACACGTGGTCATAAACTAAAGGGGGGAATGGTGGGGGAGGGGTGTGCAGGGTAGAGGGGAATGAAGAGGGGGAATAGAAAAACTGTAATGGCATAATCAATAAAATTAAAAAAAAGAATAAACACACAATTCTTATAAATATATTCTGTTAATTCTGTTAAACACACAATTCTTATAAATAAACACACAATTCTTATAAAAAAATAAAAAATAAAAAAATCAAATGTAGGATTCCACGATGAATATTGCATTGTTGCTAGCCTTTGTCTAGATACCGAGGGTCATGCTTTAATTCACAGTGTGTGTCTGCAAGTGGAGGGTCTGGCGGTGGTGGTGAAGCGTGGGTTCCCTTCAGCACCTGGTGTTCCTCCATCGGCCCCAGTGTGTTATTGATTTTCTTAGCAGACGCTGTGCCCTTGAATTATCCAAAAGCATTAAAGCATGTTCAGTTACCAAGTGCATTTGAAAATGACAAAATTGGTTTCCCTTTGAAAAAATGTTGAAATGATAAATATGAAAGCCTTTTTTTCCCCTCCTTTTTGAAATTCAGACAGGCCCCTTTGTCAGCATTTGCAGTCTTACACGTATGCCCAGTTCCAGTTGGAATGTGTTCCCCAGTAATCTAAGAACTGTGTGACTTACTTTCTGGTTACATGGTTGGCTCCCAATGTAAGGAAATGGAAATCGTAGCTTTTTCCCCAAAATGTTACACTCTCTTCCCTTTCCCCAACCAATGTGTCTGAAGGGAAAAAAAAATCTTTTCATTGACACTTGTTTTTACTCCTTATTTTTAGTGGGGTTTACTATAAGTATGAAACACAATTTAAGTTTTATGGTAACTTAGTACTATTTACGTTCTGCTCTAGTGGTCTGACCTATGCTGAAAGAGTTTGAAAAATCAGCTCAGCACACCTGACAGATGACAGTCTCTGTGCTCAAAGAAAGCACTGTTTGTTTTGGAAATTTTGTTTGATCTTAGACATTTAAGTTTCTGTGATGTTCTATACAACTAGAGAGAGTATCAGTTTGATATCGTTTGGGTTGATGTGATGTGGGTAATATTGTACTTTATGGTCTATTTATCATTCTTCTGTAAAAAAATTACTTTTTTGGAGGTAATTAGAATGTGACATTGTCTAAGGCTAAGGGGGACCACATGTTGGTTTGATACATTTACACACTGAGTGATTACACCATAGCATTAGGTAACACCTCTGTACATAATAATCATTATACAGGGTCCAGCACAAATAACACCCCTTCCTTTATTACAAAATCTTTGATTACAAAATCATAAGCATATTATTCTACAACATAACAATATCACATCAAGCACACCATATGACATTTTAGGTGAGATGTTCAAATTAAAACTATAAAGTATTACACGCATAGCATTACCCTACCAACCACATTCAAGCAGGTCTTCTGCCGGACCCCATATTTTTATGGTGGGAACAATTAAGATCTAGTCCCCTGGCAACTTTAATGTGTATAATACAATATTGCTGTCTATAGCCAAGTCTTTAAACGTCAATTTAAAACAAAACAAAATAATGTCACATGGTCCATCTATGAAATAAACCTCCCTGTGAACGCATTTTTAAATGGAAGTTTCAGATTCCATTCAAATTCCACGAACCCAGGAATGAAGATCGGGGTGCTCCCGAGTGCACTGGTTCTGAGACCCGCAGAACCGAGGTGGCCAGTACTTGACTCTCTGACTCTGCTCCTTTGTCTGGTCTGGTAGAGAAGCCATTCTGAAACATAAATTATGGAAACGCCATGCCTGAAAGACACGTGGTGAGCTGTCACAGCCTTCCCAAAAAGGGGCTGTGTTCTGGGGGCCAGTTTAATTTGGTTTCTTGGAGAGATGGAGCAGCTGTTGGAACAGAGAGTTTGAGCTTCAGGTCCCATCTCAGTGTCGTGGATGTGTTTCTTGTGTTCAGGCGACTCCTGGATACAGAGGACGAGCTCAGTGACATCCAGTCGGATGCGGTGCCTTCTGAGGTCCGAGACTGGCTGGCCTCCACCTTCACGCGGCAGATGGGGATGATGCTCAGGAGGAGCGAGGAGAAGCCGCGGTTCAAGACCATCGTGCACGCAGTGCAGGCTGGGATATTTGTGGAGAGGTAAAGACAACTGTCATCTGATGACCCAAAACTGGAAGGTTTGCTTTGATGTGGTTTTGGTGTCTTTGTAAACACTGAGAATTCTGGGCGGAGACAGTCTGAATGAGACACAGCAAACACAGAGCTACCTTAATCTCTGTAGTGCAATGGGATAAACTTGGCCTTTGCTCAGATTCTCTTTGTTAACTAAAGAAGATTTACTTGGAGCTCACTCTCTCATTTTTGAAGGGTATCATCTAATCCATTGTCCTTTGACATGTGGGGATGATGTCTGCTTTGGGAACCGGTCAGGGACAGCTTGTTGACCCAGGGAGGGCAGCTTGTGGAGAGGGGTTGAGTTCCCCATGAAACTTCCCAATTTGGTTCACCATTTTGTTCTTTGAAATTGAATTGTCCCCCTCTTCCCTGGAAATAGAGTCTAGAAATCAATCAGTTCTTCCTATAATCCTTGTTATGCAAGTGGATTTGTTCTTCCTGTCCTCCTGTGGTGCAGTGACAGGTTTTAGAAACACCACAGCTCCCCGCGGATGTTTTCCTGCGTGTTTTTGGCAGTTCTAAAGAAGAGCCCTCCTGAATGGGTTGCCCATAGGAGTTCTTTGTCCTGTTTAAAGTTCTAAATTGAATCCTGTCTGTGCTGAACTATAATTCACTTCTGGGAGAACCGGTGACCCATTTTAATAATTTAATTTCCAATCTGAGCCACATAGATTAATTTTTTTGTTTTCAACAGTTCATGTGTTTGGGATTGTGTTAATTTCTTTTGAGTTTCTCACTTTGGCCACTGAGCGACTTGGAAAAAGGTTATAAAAGACATTTTAGATTCCTTGGGTCACCAGATATCATGACTTCTCATTATTTGTCAATACTTGGCGTAAGTCTGTGGGCTGCTAATTCTTCTTTGTAAGGTGTAATGTTGCTTTTTCTTTCTCTCCAACTTTGCCAGAATGTATAGACGGACATCAAACATGGTCGGACTGAGCTACCCACCAGCAGTTATAGAAGCATTAAAGGTAACACCAGTGAAAAGCTTCCCAGTGCACTTGGGACTCTGTAGAAAGTACAGTTACAATTGTCATTAAAAAATCTGCACTTATAGTTCATTTAGAGATGTCCTGGTCATTTCTGACTGTTCACTTCTATTATCTTTTACTCACCTGTTTTAGCAGTATCACTATCTTTCTAGCTTTCATCTTGCTAATTTTTTATTAAATCAAACTCTGTGGGTTTCATTTCTCTCTACTTCCTTGAAGTCATTTAGTGAAAATGTTTTATGAGACTCAGTCTGCCTTAGGCCAAAGAAGATCAGATCTGATCTGGTTATAAATATTCAACATCAGGAGGATTGCTGGTGATCACAATTGTACCAATATGTGATCACCTACTCGAAGTCTATTTTATAAACAGAGACTCTGAGAGGAAAAAAAAAAGACACAGTTAATGAGGAATGGGACTGTGGTTTGCAGGTACAGAGTGAAAAAGACACAGTTAATGAGGAATGGGACTATGGTTTGCAGGTACAGAGTAAGCTATCAATGACATTTTACGGTACAAACGTCAGCCCCAGAGCCCTTATCCTCTCCACATACCCTACTGTTCTCCCAAGACTCTCCCTGAGCCCAAAAGTTCCATTTGAAGTCACACAGACGGTTGTGTTTAAAATATAAACCCTGCAAAATTCTCCCTGTCCGGTAACCTCCCGGAATTGTACAGAATATTTCTAAGAGTCCCAGAGCAGATATATTCCTCTAGGTGTGTGTTGATTTATACCCCTGGTCAGAGGGCACCCCAGCCATGTTGGCTTATGTTGGCTTATGTTGGCTTCTGGAGTTGAGGGTGGGGCTGTTCTGAGGCCTGGGCTCACTGGGCCAGTTGACGTTGTGTGGGGTGTAGCCATGGAGCTGCGTCCGCCTGCTCAGGGACGTCCCAGCACTCTGACTATGGTTAAAGCTGTCCTTGCCTTTGTCTGAAACCTGATGGTAGGTTCAGAACATAACTTAAATTACTTATTCATGGAATTGGGGGTGGGAGTGCTTCTTGATCAATTTAATGTCAAGAAAAAGTCTTTTAGGGCCATTTTGATTATGTATTTCATAGTTCCTTTCTCCTGTCTCAGAGATAGTCACTAGCTGAATTTGTGAGACCCTGTTATTGAGATTCTCAGTTCTCCATTTTCTATTTTTTTAATTTTATTGAATTTGCTAGGGTGACATTGGTTAATAAAATATAGAGGTTTCAATTGTACAATTCTGCGACACATCAGCTGTATATTGTTCCCCATGCATGTTCACCACCCAAAGCCCAGTCTCCTTCCATCACCACCTATTTGACCCCCTTTACCCTTTTTTATCTCCTCCCCTTTCCCTCTGGTAACCCCCATACTATTATCTTTGTCTCTGACTTTTCAGGGTTTTTTTTGTCTTCTTTGTTTGTTGCATTCAGTTTTATATTCCACAGATGAGTGAAATCATATGGTTCCTGACTTTGCCCACCTGACTTACTTCACTTAGCATGGTATTCTTAAGCTCCATCCATGTGGTCACAAATGGCAGTGTCTCATCTTTTCTTAAGGCTGAGTAGTGCCCATTGTGCATATGCACCACATCTTCTTTATCCAGTCATCTGTTGAAGGACACTTTGATTGTTTCCATGTGCTGGCCACTGTGAATAATACTGCAGTGAACACAGGAGTACATATATCTTCATGAATAAATGCTTTCAAATGTTGGGGGTAGATACCCAGAAGAATGATTGTTAGGCCACATGGTAGGCTATTCTTTTTTAAGGAATCTCATACTGTTTTTCCTAGTGTCTGCACTGATTTGCATTCCCATCAGCAGTGTATGGGGATTCCATTTCTTCCTAGTCTCCCCAACACCTGTTGTTACTTGCCTTGTTGATAATAGTCATTAGAACAAGTGAAACGCTCCTTGGCCTTTTAGCTAAGATCAAATGTAGTATCTGTCCTTATCAATTTAATGTCTCTTCTTAACTCATCTTAAGAATAGGAAGGATACTCAAGAAGGATACAGCGAGAAGACACGTGTTTTTTTCTCACTCCTCTTCAACCCCCACTTTAATGCCCAATATGTCAGTGATTTACAGTGACATTTCCCATTTAATTGGTGAAGACACTTCACATAAGATTTGATGTTTCATGACACCCACTAGGAAGTCGCACTGCTTTTTTTCATAATTGAACCTGAAACATTCCAGTGAACACTTAGGAACATTAAAAGCATCTTTTATTTTTAATTCCTTCCTTCATTGTGATCATAACTACAGGTGATTATACAGGCACTGAGAAATTTATGAAAATGTTTTGCAAATGGGAGCATCCTTTCTATGCAGAATAATGGAAGGAAAGGTGAAGGCATGAATGAGTTGGTACTTTATGCTTAGGGAAAAGTGGTGCTCAAATGCACGCGTGTCTGTCTGAACCTCAGCGGTTCAGACGAAGAGTAAGTACTGTCTGAATCGCTGTCCCTCTCCACAGGCTCACTCATAAGTGCGTGAGGATCAAACTGCCTTTTCTCTCGGTCCTGTCCCCTGTGCACTGGGGAAGTTCAGGACCTTTTACAACATAATATTTTCCAACTTCCTTAGACTCTGGTTTTATTTACAGTGGATTGGAGGTGAGTTGGAGAGGTCACACTGATAGATACTTTGTTGTTCTTTGTTTTTAATGCCATGCTGTTAGAAAAGGGTTATTTTCACTTCACAGCCAGCACTTTATATGGGATTACTATTGTTTTCTTCTACTACAGAAAATTTCCCCAAAGCCTGGGAGAATAGCATTCGCTAAAATAGCCATCAGGTTACTACTATCATGTTAACCTTTGTGATTAATGTAAGAACCTGGCATTAAACACCGTTTAAGTAAGAGAATAATTAGCTGCCGCCAATCTCTAGATTGGAAATATGTGACATTTTTGTTCTTTTTATTTTTTGCTTTTAATAGATAACGGCTTCTAATTTGGGGTGTTTTATCTCTGGCCTTTGGAGGTGGGGATGACAGAAATGTCAAAATGTTCTGTTCTTTGGAAGGGTGTCTGTTTGTGTGACTCAGAAGGGACACCTGGATAGACTCCAGGTTTGAAGTGTGAGGAGATGAGGAGGTTTGGGCCGCTTTTACGTTATACTTACTGATAGGGAGTCGTTCAGTTTCTCCATGGGAATGGTCCTTGGGCCAGGTCCGTTTAGAGAGGGAGGTTGGTTTAAAACAGTAAAAGTAGGTGCTTGTTAAATGCAGATTCCAGCCCCCACACCAGGATTTTGCAGAGTCCCTCACCCACAAATCAGCATTTTCCCCCGAGCACCCCAGGTGGTTCTGAACAATACTAAACCCTGAGAACAATACTAAACTAAACGGCTGAGGCCTCCTGAAATCGACAGTCTGGAGAGAGCATCTGTCTTGCTCTCTATTTACTCATCCTTTTATTTCCCTAACTCCTAATATTCCAAATGAGTCTTGATTTCTATGATCATCTCTTTCTTTCTAGCAATAGCCTTTCTCTTTTCATTCATTCTGGAGAACAGGATTAAAAATTGTCAGACTTGACAAAGTGTTGTTCCCCCTACTGAGTTGTCAGAAGGCTTTTCTCAGGTGTAATGGTCGGAGAATGGGTGTCGTGATAATTCCAATTACTGTCATCAAGATGAAGCTTCAAGTCTTGGGTTCATCAGAAATGGCCCCACTGTCTGTGGCCTGGGCCCTCTGTGGGTATTTAGGGCATGGGGCCTGGGTCACAGCATGTAGTCACGGAGTTTACAATGTCATTTGCTGGCAGTGATATCACTAATTGATGTCACTGGAGTTATTACCTGGTTCTGCTAGTGAATGTCATCAGACACTTCATTTCATCTCTCTGAGGTTGCCATCTGTAAATCTGGGGAAACTCACATCTACTTCTAGAGTTGTAAGGATTTGCAAGTGTGTATAAATACCTTATACTGTGCCTGGCACAAAAAAATGTGCTCAGCACTTGTAGTTATTTCTTTAGTTATTATAATGGAGGAGAAACTACTGCAAACTTAACTGAGGTTACCACAGGCATGAATTGAAACAACGTGGTTTGAGAGCCTTTTGGAAAAGCTTGGTTTCCCCTGTATACAATTCAGTTATCCTGTCCCCTGGCAGCCATGAGAGAGACCCCAGGTGGCCTTGGGATGATCTTGACAGTGGGGACATTTGGAGACGGACAGGTTTGGGACGGATGGGTGATGTTGGAATGCAGGGAGGGCTGAGGCAAGAGCCACTCAAGCCAGCGGTTCCGGGCAGTCAGTGTCTCTTCCCAGACACCATCTGATGTCCTGCCTGGACGCCCCTGCCCTGTGGCCTCACATGGGTCCTTCTTGTCCGAGTCACAGATGTACTTTTTTTTTTAACTAAAAATAAGACTCTGTCACAATAAGAAACCAAAGGACTATTGCTTAACTATCAGTTAAACACTGCTTTGTTTATACATAGCTGGTTGTAAGTCAGAGACATCAGATAGTGTATACATTGATGAGGTGTGTCCAGAAAGTACCCAGCCATACACTGTGAAAAATAGAGACATTTACTGAAGAAGATAAAGCTATAAGAAACATTGTAATAGGATAATGACACCTCAGTCCCCTTCAGAGTAGGCACCTTGGGACCTCACACCGTTCTCCTAATCACCATCAGCTGCTCTGTCATATTTTCCTGAGTCTCACTGATGGTCTGAAATCTCTTCCCTTTCAAAGGTGATTTTAGTTTTGGGAAAAGGCAGAAGTCACGGGGTGCCAAATCTGGGCTGTAGGGGGGCTGAGTCACCTGGGTGATTTGATGGTTTGCCAAAAAACTCTGCAGGAGACGTGCTGCATGGATGGGCGTGTTGTCGTGATGAAAGCGCCCATCACCCGGTGCCCTTGGCTGCAGCCTTCTGAATCACCCAAATAGTTTCTGTGGAGGAATGTTCAAGCTTCAGGCAAAATCTGATGCAGATTGGTTGCTCTACTCACTCAGTCATTTTGAAAGTGACAGCCACAGTACCCATACTCACTCAACGGTGCCTACGGCCCCCACTGACTAGAACAGTGAAATAGTCATTGCACACACATGCGCATTCCAGTCCATTCTCCTTGGCTGCCACGTTACATCGCTGTTGTGCAAACTGTTCTTATTATATTAAAAATGGCTGGACTTTTTTTCTGGACAGACTTCGAGTTTTGGAGTAGCTATTAATAAACAAATAGGGCTTTGAACTTCAAAAACAATATATGAGGTGTGTGTTCAGTTTAGTTTTACCCTTTTCAGTAAACTGACCTACAGATTTGAGGGTCAGCGACCCCAAAAGTGGTAGCATTTTTCTGACCCGTGAAATGAAGGCTTTCTGCTTGGGTTCAGCTCAGCAGTTTGGATTGAAGTGACACATTATTTTGTATTCTACAGCAGGCGTGGTTCTGAACACTGTGAAGTGGGTTGATATTCTCAGCTGCAGACTACGAGGAAGTCTGTAGATGATACCAAGGGACTGGGGAGAAGGTCAGAGTAGGGAAGCACTGAAGGTTGTCAGTAAATTAAGAATTTGAAATTCAGCCCTGGTGGAGAGTAGAAGGGGTTTAAAGGGCAGGGCCTGAGCCTAGGCATCTGGTCAACCCATGCTCGGGGGCTGGGCCCATTGGGCCCCTGACACTCCCTCGTGAAGGGGCTTTGGGGAAATTAGGTAACTTCTCAGCTTTCTGTAACATGTGACTACTTAAATCTGTCCCTTAGAATGTTTTTCAGGATCAGTTATGGTATTTATCACTGATCACAATGCCTAGCATATAGTAGGCATTCAATAAATTACAGTGGCTGTTATTAGCATTAAGACTATTTAATATTTGATCAGTAGATGCTATATAGGTCTGCCTGGTTGGAAAATCTTGGGAAGTGGGAAGAGCATTAGAGTCTTAGTCTGTAAACTCTGTGTGAGGGCCGCAGGCCATGTCCCCAAGGACAAGTGCGTAGCCTGTTTGCAGCTGTGGACTGATGCGTTCTTTCTCCCTTCCCGGTCCTGCAGGATGTGGACAAGTGGTCCTTTGATGTCTTTTCCCTCAACGAAGCCAGCGGGGACCACGCACTGAAATTCATTTTCTATGAATTACTCACACGCTACGATCTGATCAGCCGTTTCAAGGTCAGTGACTCATTAAACACACACACACACACACACACACACATCTATCCTTGCATGACTTTGAGGCTAAGGTCAAGAGAATTATTTTAATATAGACCCCAAACTGCCCTGGGAGACTCGGGACGCATTGCCTGTACTGCGGTTGTCCTAAACTCTGTAGTGGGAACTTTTCGTTCCTCCCCTGCTTGGCGGGCCCCTTGGTGGGGCATATTTCAATCCCCGTCTTCCTCGAAGCACCACCCGAAGCCTGGACTAGCGGAACTTCCCGCAGTGCTGCCCGCTGATCTCATTTCAGCCTCCTTTCGTGTATGGTCTCCTGCCATCCGCACGGAGACAGAATGGTGTCTGCTGTCTCTGCAAATGTTTTTTTTTTTTTTTCCCACCACTTGACTCAAATGCAGACAAATACTCTACCTTATCATCTGTGACAGGTCACTGGTATTGCCCAGCCAGTCAAGCTTCAAATTAATTCTTCAGCTTTAAGTAAAGAGCCTGAATCGTTTCCAGGGTTCAGTCCCTTCAGCCTCTTGTTTCACAGACTCTGGATGCTGCGTCAGGTTCCTCAGGCGACCTGAGAATTCACCCATTGACATCTGTCACGCTACGCCCCTCCGATTTCTGTCATCCTGTGGATGAGCCTGTGGAAAATACAGGCCTTCTCTCTGTAACTTACTGACTTCCCTGGACAGCCTGGTACCTTATCGCTGTCTAAAGGACTGAGTATTTGGGGGTGTATTTCTTTCACAGCCATATAAATAGTTTATGGCAGTGGTCCTTGATTTCTTTTATTTTTTAAAAGAGTTTATTTACTTATTTTTAGAGAGAGGGGAAGAGAGAAAGCAAGGGAAACTTCACTGTGTGATTGCCTCTCACACGTCCCCTACTAGAGATCTGACCTGCAACCCAGGCATGTGCCCTGACTAGGAATTGAACCTGCAACCTTTTGGTTTGCAGACCAGCGCTCAGTCCTCTGAGCCACATCAGCCGGACCTGGTCCTTGATTTCTTTTGCACCAGAATCCTGTGTGGAAGCCTGGTGACTGCCTCAGACCCTTTCCTCAGAGCAAAGCCCCACTCACATATACTCCCACTGGACCCAGCATTTCCGTGGTCCACAGACCCCTCATGAACAGCCCCAAGAACCTAGGTTTCTCGAATCTTCATTTTCAAAAATGAAAATTGATCTCTGACACCTGAGAGGCAGTATTTAAAGTTTTAAAAGTCGAAGACTGGGAGGAAGACTGTGGTCCAGGAAGAACATGTTACTGATGCTCACAAACCATCACAGTAGTATTTTCCTTATTATTACTTTACCACTTTCAATACTTTACCAACACGATTTTAGTCTCCTGAGACACACACTCTGTGCTTTCCTCCTTTATCATACTTCATATTTACCCTCAGCCAAGGAATCAATCCAGAAAACTGATACAGGGACTGTTTTCAGGGTCCCCTGTTTTCTACAGGCATTTTGTAATTGCCCTTCACTTTCTGCCACGTAGAAAAAGAAGGTAAATTTATTATACATATCTGAGACAGAAAGACAATTGGGCTAATTGGAAATGTGTTCCAAGTTGCAAGGCACCTGTAATAAATCATCGAGGAACAGACACAAGAACACAGGTTGTTTCTCTTCTCTGCTGTAGAAGATTATGACATTGCTTCATTTTAACGTGTCCAGCACATGCAGTTGCTTTTCCTGAAGAGCACCTTTTTCAGGAGGTGGCAGCCCGTTTAGTTTGCAGTCATTTAATGACTCATGATCTTGGTGTACGCTATATTTTGTCATCAATAAATGAGATATACTGCACAGTGTGTGTTCGTTTATTTCTCAAGATAGAAAAGACTTGAACCTTTGCTTAAGAAATAAATGAACACGCACCCTTCTGCCCTGCACGTCTCTGAGATGATTCTGTGTGATTTCCTTCCTCACATAAAGACACTAAATCACTAGCCCATTAACCTTACCGATCTTTTTCAGATCCCGATTTCTGCACTTGTCTCATTTGTGGAGGCCCTGGAAGTGGGGTACAGCAAACATAAAAATCCATACCACAATTTAATGCATGCTGCCGATGTCACCCAGACTGTGCACTACCTACTCTACAAGACAGGCGTCGTGGTGAGTACAGATGGGAACTCTAGGATTACACAAACAACCAGGTCTCTATGGTCAGTCTCTATGACCTTTACTATAAAATCTTCTTCAAATTGGCATCAAGATAGATATTCTTTGGGTATGGTTATTTATTAGCCCATAAACTCAGTACACATTTGTTATCTTCTCAGTGAGGACATGTTGAATGACTTGGTATAATATTTCACTGAATTAAAAATGGAACACAGGGGAGGAGCGTGGGCTTTGCAGCTCAGTATAGTTAGATAGAAATCCTTGTTTAATGACTTACTAGATCCTGGGATCTGTGATAAATTGCTTGAATCTCTGAGTCAGGATTTCCTCATCTTCTAAAATGGTGAAAGTTGGTCTGTCTTGTAGAAGAACCATGGCAGTCAGGAGTGAAGTGTTGAGGATATAAAGTGCTCTGTCTGCCCCCGAAGGAGACTCAACAGTTAGGGATGTTTGCCCTTAGAACTTTGCAGGATTTCCCCCAAACCTCTCACCAGTTTTCAGTCCCTCCTTACTGCAAAGCTGATTTCTTAAAGTGCTATTTAAAAAGCTGTTGTTTTAATTACAGAAATAGCACAAAGGGAACCTGTTTGATGTGACACAGGATTTCTGCCAGAAACTTAGAGCAAGTGTTGTAGTTAAGGGTGGTTCAATGAAACCCGAGAGCCAAGCAGGGCTGCCCACATTGAGATTGCTGTTGAGCATCTTTCTGGGGGTCTCAGCCAGTGCAGTGTGGCATCTAAAAAGGTTAAAGAAGCATCCTGTGCAAATAATCTGATTATCTCTTTTTAAAAAATCAAGAAATCCAACTACAAATGAGTAGATCAAATAAAATAGCTGTCCTGTACACTGGAAATTAACACGTGGAATAGAAAGACATTCATTCTCAACAGTTTTTTAAAATCTATAAATTACCTGTGAAGAACTTTAAAACTGATAAAAAGGAAACTAAAACCAAAAGGCACAAAATAATATTTAACTGAGTAGAGAAATACACCATGTTTCTCATGCCTCAGTATTACATAGATATCAATTTTCCTCAAACTAATCTTAAATTCAAGGCAATATCAATAAAAATTCCAATGAGATTTGAAAGGAAACATGATAAACAGAGTCTGAAATTGACGTAAAATAGATATTTTACAACCTTAAAAAACAGCTTTGAAAAAGACAATGTGTGTGGTGGGGTAGTTATTACTCTACTAGATATTAAAATAACTCCCGAAGCTATAGCCATAAAAAGGGTGTGGCATTTGTGCCAAACTAGACAAATATATCAATGGAATTGATTAGAGTTTCAAAAATGAAGCTCAAATATTTATTGAGCACTTACTACGTGCCAGTTTCTTTTTCTAGGGTGAAGGTACATTGTTGATCTTACAGAATTTGTATTCTAGTGGGAGGTTACAGACAGGAGACCAGTAAAAAAAAAGAAAAGAAAATCTCACTAGCGTTCTGTGGAAAATTGAAATAGAGTGCCCACGTAGGGAAAACTGGGAGTTTTATTAAGTAGTCAGGAAAATCCTCTCTCCAGAGGTAATATTTTGAGACAACTGTGATTTTAGAGTTGGGCTATGTGAAGAACCTGAGAAAGGTATGCCAGCAGAGTTAGCACTGCAGGGTTAGTGTAAATATAAGTATCATTAGTTCCCTCGTAAGAGAACGGCTTTGTTGAATTCAGGGAACAGAGAAATCAGGCAGGTGCAGTGGGAACAGCATGCAGTGGGGACAGAGGTACAAGATAAGGCTGGAGAACAGAGCAGGAGCCAGGCCAGATCTGGCCATGTGGCCCAGGGGAATGAATTCCAACTTTATTCTAAGTGCAGTGAGAGGCCACTTAAGGGGGTTAGCAGACAGAGCAGTCATGGGACCTGACAAAGATTAGGAAAGTGCTACCGTGGAGAATGGAACTGAGACTGCATTTTTGAGGAGGACTGTGGGTGTCCACTGGGGAGATAGCAGTGTGGATGAGGAAGAACGTTGCTAGGATATGGGGACAAAGATTCTGTGTCTGAGGTAGAGGTAATAGAATTGGGTGATGAACAGGATTTGGAGAATTCAAGAGAGGAATCAAGAGGACATCTCAGATTTTTGGTTTGATAAACAGGGTGGATGAGAGAGCCTGGTGGCAAAGCTGCCTTTGGGGGAAGGGACCTCAAGAGCTTCATTTTAGACACATTGAGTTTGATATCCCTCCTAGACATCCATATGGGGATGTCAAGCAGGAAGAAAACCAGGAGAGTCTAGAGTTCTGGAAAGAGATCAGGAATAGCCATGTAGACTAGACAACAGACACCTCAATGTTACGTGAAGGCAAAGAACCAGATGAGATTATTGAAAGAAGTCATGTGACTAGAGAAGGGGAAGGGGCTCTGGAGGGAGTCTTAGAGCAGCCCATACTTTAAATGGAAGGTAAAGAATTAGAGCCAACAACCAAACTAAAAAGGAGTGGCCAGGGGCATTGGGACAAATACCAGGAGAGTGTGGATTCACCGGAACCAAGGAAAGAAAGTGCCTCAAAAGAAGATGGTGAGTAATGCAGGGCATGACAAAAAGTTAAGTAGGATGAGGACAGAGAAGCGGTCACTGCCTTTGCCAGCAAGGAAGCCATCGGCACCCTTGACGTGGGCAGTCTCATGGTTTGGTAAGGACAGAACACTGAGGAGAGTATAACAAAGGAAGAACTGTGGGGGAGAAGAGGAGGTCATGTCTAGAGTCTACATTCTAGGGAAAACTACTCAGTTCAAACAATGTTTTGGGGACAGTTGTTCATTTGAAATACACAGCTTATTTGTGTCCTGCTTCATATCCTTCATCAAATATCAGAGAAAAGAATGAAAAATTTGAGTACAAAAATAAAGATTTGCTGATATGAGGAGAAAATATGAGAATATGTTTATAACCTTGAAAAAGGAAATTTTCTTAAGTAAGCCTTAGCACACAATAGTTATCTACAAAAATATAGATTAATTTGAATCTATTAAAACCGTCTGTAAGTACAAGACATCATCATGATGAAGTAGTACTTGAGGAAAATATAGAAGAACAAGGATTAAGACCCAGATTATATAAATAAATTAACCAATGAGAAAATGACACAAATTCAGTAGAAAAATAGGAAATTCATTCAGAGTTAATATTGCCCTGTCATAAAGTGTCTCTCACGTGAGGAATTTTTCCCCTCCTAAATCCATATGTTGAAGTCCTAATCTAACCCCTGAGTGCCTCAGAATGTGACAGAATTTGGAGAAAGGGCCTTTAAAGAGGAAATTAAGGAAAATTGAGGTCAGATGGGTGGGCCCTAATCCAGTATGACCAATGTCCTTATAAGAAGAGGAGATTGGGCCATACATACACAAGCACAGTGAGGACCATCTCAGGAAGACCACGTGAGAACAATGAGAAGGTGGCCATCTGCAAGCCAGGAGCACCTTGATCTTGCCCTTCCAGCCTCCAGCACTGTGAGAGAATACATTTCTGTTGTGTAAGCCGTCCCTTCTGTAACATTTGTTACGGCAGCCCCGGGACACTAACACAGCAGCAGAGCCAGGATTTGGTCCCAGGTCTGACTTCTGAGGCTGTGCATTTCAATATTTAAGCCATGCTTCTCCAATGCCTGTGGCAATAAAAAGAAAAGAAAAGAAACAAGAAAAAAATCGGTATTCCTACAGTTCAGTAACTACATGTGATACTTGAAAGTATTGTAGTGAGAATCCAAGTAAATGTGAAAACATACCTCGGACTCATCTATTCAACATATATTTAGTTAGTGCCTACTGTGTAGTATACTGTGGAGATACGAAGGTGAATTGCACCCAGCTTTTTTTAGCCCTCAAGAAAAACTCCCAAGCATTTATGCTAATGCAAGTTGTCATTAACATAAATGTTATAGCGTAGCAGTCAATGATAGTGATGTACTGCATAATGTTCTTGAGTGAGCTTATTTGCCATTGAATTTTCATGATCAATTCAGGCCTCATTCAGAATAATTCTTAAATATAGAAACTACTTCCCACCCACTCTCTCTCGGAAATGCAGCTCAAAACAAACTTCTTTCACTGCAAGCTTACAGAAGCCGTGGGAGCAATCTGATGAATGGAGAATGTACCATGACTCTAACCTTTCATTACAAACCAAGAGGGGAGAAATGCTTCAAATCACTGCAGTTCTATAGACTGTAAGACACCTAGGGAATCAAAACACCCCATTGATAAACCGATGCCCAGTCCTCCACATCAACTCATTGCCATCTGTATGTGTGACTCATTACTGCTTAACTCAGGTGCCTAGAAGATGTGTGAATACTTACAGACTTATCATGCTCACATCTAGGAGACAGTCCATGAACAGAATTGGACTGAAGCGTTGTTGATTGCATGCATAAGGAATCAAGCTCCAAGCTCCAGTCTGCGTTTGATTTAGCTCAGAAGATTCCAAACTCCAAAGCTGTCCCTTGGGCTCTTTCATTGCTTTTGTTGGCCAAGGTGCCATTAATTTTCATTGGCTTGTATTTTTAGAGGAGAGAAGTTGTGTATCTTGTTCCTTTGAGCATAGATGGCATCAGCGTACTTGTAAGGGAAACATCAAAGACATTCATCTAAGTGGCAACTGTGATTCAAAAGCACTGCACACTTTTGTGAGGGTTTGTGGTCAGTGGAATTTTGGCCCATGTGACCTCTGACCTCTTATGAGTTGTCATTGTTACATTAGCTGTCCAAAGGGACTTGGCAGCTACCATGAAGCTTACTAATCAGAGGACCTTAAAGTAGGGAGAGTATCCCGGATTCTCTGGGTGGGCCCAACGTGATCATGTGAGTCCTTAAAAGAAAGCAAGTTTGGCGGGAGTGTGCTTGCCTGAAGAGGGACCGAGCCGAGTGGAAAGCACGAGAAGGAAGTGAGGTTTGCCACTGCTTTGAGTGCCCCTGGGAGCAGACTTCCCACAGAGCTTCAGAGAGCAACGCAGGCTTGCCCACACCTTGAGTTCAGCCTCGGGAGATCCCGACCAGAACACCCAGCCAGCCGTACTGGGCCTACTTCTCGCCCACAGAACGGTGTGCCAGCGCATGGGAGGCGTTCTCTAAGCCCCGTGTTAATGGTGATTTAAGGTAGCAATGGAAAGCTGATATGGGGTGGAAACAGATCACTAAAGAAACTGTCCTTCACCTATCCAAGTCACAGTGTGCTCATCACGTTTCCACTAGCAATGGGAACTTGCCATGTCCTTTCCCTGCAGGTTTCTACGGCCCCACCCCCATCTTCCCTGCAGATGTACACGTGTAGCTTGCTCTGCTGTGTCATACCCAACAAACTTCCAAGGCCACCATTACAACAGTTGTCAAGGCATTGCTGTCATTGCATTAGTTATGACACTCGTGTTTCGTAGATAGTGAAATACTCGTAGAACCTGTGGCTTGTACCTCGTCACAGCTTGATGAATCTGGAATAATATTCATGGGGGACTTAAACCTATGACTCCTATGGGTTGTCGTAAAATCTTCTGGGTTCACAATAATTAACTTGGAAAAGGCAAGGAAATCTGAGCTTTATTAAAATATGAAGCCAAATTACCCTCAAACTAGCTTCTCCCACCTTCTCTATTTCTATTAACAATGCCATCTAATATCACCCACCATTGTTTTTGCCGCCCTAGCTAGAAATGTCAGGGGCATCTGTAATTCATTGTTCTCTTCCACTGAAGCCTCTTCCTGCCCCCTCATTCCATTAATTGCTACACCACGCGGATTCTGCTTCATACTGCCTGAACATCCTACCAGGGCTTTCCCATTCCAAAACTCTGCTCTTACTTCTCCCTCTCGGTGGCTGGCTGAGTGTACCAGTCTCTTGCAAGTCAACTTCATTGCCTATTGAATCTGCTTTATGTTCCTCATGCTGCCTTTTAATGCCTGGTTTCTCAGGGGCCTAATCAGCCCCAATACCCACTCCACAGTGGGAATCTTATCCTTACTGGTGATGAATCAGCTTTTGCTACTGGACCTGCTCGTTTGTTCACTGTTCTGAAAATTTGCACTTCTGTTTCTTAACTATCTTAAATGCCCCTTGTTTGTGAAGCTCTTTCCCTCCCTTTTTCCTTTCTTCCATCCTTCCTCTCCCCCCCTTTTTCTTCTTCTTCCAGATACCATCCCTCTTATCCCCCAAAAGCAAAACTGATTCTAAGAATCCACAGGGTTTGTTGAAAAGCCAGGGTATTTAAATGGGATTTAAAGGCTATGGTTTTATTTTTCTGTTGTATGCTTGTTTGTAGTCATTTCCCCTACGATAGGATCTTGTTACTCTCTTTGGGTATGGGGGGGAGGGGGGAATTCACACATATATTTGTGATGTGAGGACTGTAATTACGTAGTTACTTAGATACCTGCTGGTGGGGCTAACGCCCTGTGATTCAGATTTGTTTAGATGGTACACTGTCTTCCACTCATGATCTTATTTTACAAAGTTAAATTAACTTCACAAAGGAGTGGGTACCAGAGTCAGAACAGGTGGATGGGGACAGGTTGTTGGGAAAGAAAAGAAAAGCATTGCCAAAATGAATATGTGTGTGTGTGTGTGTGTGTGTGTGTGTGTGTATAAATATATATATATATTTTTTCACAGCACTTTTTTAGTGACTGTTTATAGCATTGAACTTAAGTTCTATGGACATAACAATTCAATTTTTGTGTTAATTTTTTATTGGCTTCATTTTATACACACACACACACACACATATATACATATATATATATAAAGTATCAAGAAAAATGTGTACTATAAAATTAAACCTATAGTTTTATGCAAAATTGAGTGAACACATGAACCCAAAGGAAAGGTGAGGTAGAGATAAGGAACAGAAGCTCTGAACTGACACTGTGTGGCTTGTCAAAGCACGAGTCATGAGCCCTCAGGTCCGCTCCTGAGCCTGTCCAGCCTCAGTTTCCTCACCTGTGAAAAGGGGGTAACAGTACCTACCTCCATGGCACTGTGTGCGTTGCCTGAGTTTGAGGTCAACAGGCCAAACACAGAGAGAGCACCCTCTAGTGGGGAGGCTGGGGGTTGCGGGGGGCCTGGCTGCCTTCAGGGTAGGTGGCACAGCTTCCGTTTTCTTTCAGTTTTTACTTATTTTATCCATCTCTTTTTTCATTGAATTTTGTTGACTTTTCATTGTAGTCTGTTTGCTCTTTATGTCTTTCTGTTCCTAGTACATCAGTTTATAATTTTGAGGTATGCTGTTGAGGATGTTAAAAAGTTTCCAGACATTGCCTGCTGGATTCGGCTAGAAATCATTTCTCAGAAGTACAGTTTATTTTTCCCCCTGAGTTAAAACTACACTCATTCTTTCCCTAACTACGAGAAGTCTTTTTTTTTTTTTGCAGAGGTTGTAGGTAGTTTGTTTATTTATTTTTCCTTAGCCATCCTCAAAAAAGGTAATAGTTCTCAGAAAGTTTCTTAAACACCAACATTAGTAGTTAATTGAAAACAAAACCAGTTAAAGTTATGAGAATTATGAGAAATTGATCTGTTTACTTTTAAAATCATTTTGCATTAACATACATTAAATGAGTATTTTATTTACTAATCTTTAATTCAGACTCCATGCTGTTTTCTGAATTCTGCCAATTTGGGTACTCAGATTTGTCTTTCATTCAACCTGCTCCTAAGATTTCTACTTTTATTATGTCAAAGTAAAATGGAACTTAAAGACCATGAAACAAACTGAGCACTCTCTCTAAATTTTTACAATTGTTTTCTGCGCTTTCAAAGTTGTACCTTTCTTCACAGCAGTTTTTTAGTGACTGTCTATAGCACTAAACTTAGGTTCCATGGACATAACAGCTCCAATTTTGTATTCATTTTTATTGACTTATGTCATATCTAATGACATAATTATGATAACAGTGCATTTGGCCCAAACAGGGATTGGAATAAATCACACTGAAACTCATAAGCATCAATTCAATAGTAACAACAGCAGGTAGAGGGTACCAAAGGCCCTGAGCTATCATAGTGAGGGATGCTCTGTCATGTGGGCACCGGGCAGCCTGGTTTATGAAGGGCTGGGGGAGCATCAGTGATCCCACCGAGTCTCTGAGATGGAAGTCATCAAGGGAGCTTCAAACACAGTGGTGGTCTTGAACTCTAACATGCATCAGAATCATCGCGATGCCTTGTAAAACACAGGCGAGGCTAGCTCTGCTGGCCGGGAAACATGCTTTGAGGACCACCGAGCTACAGCCAATGTTGGTATGTGGGCGGGACCAGTCCACTTTCACACATGTAATGAGGAAGGCAAGCTGTTACCTTTCCATCTCTCTCTCCACCTGTCCATCTTCTAACAGGGTTGTCAAACGCATTTTCACCGGGGGCCACATCAGCCTTGCAGTTGCCTTCAAAGGGCCAAGTGTAGAGCTCCTTGCCCCTGGTGAAGGAGTAGTTGCACTTACAGCCCCAAAATTCCATTTGGCCCTTTGGAGGCAACTGTGAGGCTGATGTAGCTCCCAGTGAAAATGAGTTTGATACCCCTGTTCTAGTGGGTAGACATTAGGTTTTTCATTACACTTAGCTTTTGGTATTATGGTGAACATTTTCATTTTTCTCTGTGTCTACCTAGGAACTTTAGTTGGAATTTGAGAGAGGATACAATAAAGGGCTTTTAATGTCTGCATGTTCATTGTGTTTTGTTTTCTTGAAAAAGATAAAACCACTATTTGGCTTTCTCAACTCTCCTGAGCATACTGTATCAAATCACATGTCCCCCAGTCTCCTTACTGAAGAAAAAATTTATTTCTTCTTGTTTGAAAGCATGTGTCTGGCGATAGCTCGTCAGCTGCGGGGCGGGAAGGCAGGAATGTGAGTATGTTGTCAGCAAGCTGAGGACAAGAGACAGATGATCTGATTGCTCTGTGATCTCCCTTTCAGAACTGGCTGACAGAGCTGGAGATTTTTGCTATAATCTTCTCAGCTGCCATCCATGACTACGAGCACACCGGAACCACCAACAACTTCCACATTCAGACCCGGTGAGGACCTCGAAATGTTTGGAGAAGAGGCAAGAGGGGCCAGGGAGAGAGTTTTATATGCCAGACAGGGGTAGTCACCTTTCTTTCACATGGTTGCTCTATTTTGAGTTTCTTAAAAAATGAAAATTTGAACAAGATCAGCCTGGTCAGCTTTGATCAATACAGAGTATACTCTTATACAGAGTGTAAGACGCTGTCTGCTCCTAATTCTCATATTTTATTCACATCCAATGTGAACCTCTTTTTCCTCTCTATTGTGATGCTAACTCTTTGTTATTTATAGATGCACTGTGCATGCTCTACCTGTTTTTAGTAGGAGATAGAACAATTTACAAAAGGCATGAATACCATGGAGACTAACTCAGTGGGGACGGGCGAGGATCGGAGTGTTTTTGTTGATGTGAACAATAGCCAAGCCTTCTTACCCTCTCATCTCTGGGACTCTAGGGGTGCTTTCCCCTGTCTCCCTGATTTCATCTCTCCTCTATTTGGTGGCACAGGGCTTGGGGAGCTAGGTCGTCTCATGTAGTAGGTTATACACCATGGGCAACCTTCGTACCCTTCTTCACAAACAGCCCAGGTAAATGCAAGCCGCTTTGGGGGTCACTGAATCCCAGTCCAAGGCCCCACTCTGAGCCTCTTCACTGTCATGGACATCACTAGTCATTTTGGGTGTTTGTTTCTTACTAGCTGCAAGTCTATCCTTAGTGTTCTCCTCAGCACAGAGTTCCAGGCAAGCCCTATCAGTCCATTGTCATTTGCATTTGGGATGAAACCTTAAGTGCCTTCTCCTAGACTCAGAACTTACCTTCTCTTAAGATGGTGATGTGGAACCAGAGAGAATCTGATAGTCGGGCTCACTGGGCCCTGACAAAGAAATCAAAGGAAGCTAGAATTTGGGGAGAGATGACGAGGCGATGAGAAAGAACAGCAGGGAGGCGTGAGCTGAACCCTAAATAAATACTTGCTGATCTCACTGGAACAAGCAGGTGTACAGCTCTGATAGCTTTGTGTTCACAAATCAATCCACACAAGTTTAATGAACCCAGCGCTTAATGTGTGGTACACAAACAGTATCCTCTGATCCGTGTTCAGAAGGAGAATTTCAATAGAATGGAAGTAGAGAAGAGGGCTTGGGCTGTTCACGTTGCACAGTCTCGGCTGCCTCACAACAGCCTTCTGTGGCTCTGCTGCAAGGCCTTTAAACGCAGGGAATTCTACAGGGTGGCTCTGTTTAGTGGGACTTTGCTCGGAGGACAGAGAATAGCACCTGCTGAATGAAGGAAGAGGGTGGGGGTAGGAGAACTGTTCCTGGATCTTGGCTGGAGATCATTGTCAAGAGCAGTCACAACAGGGAGGGAAATGAAACACAAGAGTTGGAAACTTGCTTCACATCAAAAAAACACTCATCAGTCGGTGCCTTACTTACTTAACAGATTGAAGATCAGATCCTTCCCCTCAGGATCTGCATGTTTGGCGCCATCTCTTCGCAGGAGTGGGAAAATTCAGTGGGTTCGGTTAAGCTCAGTTTAGAATGAAATTTAGAATTGCCTTCCCCAACAGAATTTCATCTAACACATCTCAGCCTGTGTGCTTCCCGTTCAGAACAGCAAGTCTGTGCCCAGGTTCTGTGTCCTTTGACGGAATGTCAATTTTGACACTTCAAAGGTGTGCTAGATAGACTTCAAAGTTTGGCCAGTGACAGGTGGCCAATATGTTGGGGGGACAATGGCCCAGCTGTCAGAGACCATGCCTTCCTCCCAACCCTGACACTTAGCCCCCGGGGACTCTGGGGAGTCACTTCCCGTCCCTGGGACTCAGCACCCTTGATGAGAAACAAACAAGCTGTAGTAATCGAAGACTTCACTGAACTGAGGACATTGAAGGAGTACACAGCTCTGTGTTTGTTGTCACTCAGCTGTGGGACGGTCTTTGAGAGGGTGACTGACAAGTGTTCTACAACCCTTCCTTATATTCTTCACTCTCAGTTTCCCGTGTGTGGCTTCTGCATGCTGAAATTTTAAGGTCAGACTACTACCAGAAGAGCTTGCAAAGCATCCCTGGCAAGGTGGTATATGTTCAGAGAATTTAAGTAAAATCAGTTCTTTTATTTAATAAAAACATTAAAATTGTTCTAGAAAATATAAGGAAGTTTGACTTGACCTACATTTTTAAAAAAATCACCTTTGCTGCTACTAGCCAAGATAATTGAAGTCTGGTTGTGGAACGGTTTCCAGAGAGTTCTCAGACTAGATATGCATATTTCACATCCACATATTGGTATTAAAATACCCTACAGCCCTGGCTAGTGTAGCTCAGTGGATTGAGCGCAGACCTGTGAAAAAAAAGGATTGTGGTTCAATTCCCAGTCAGGGCACATGCCTGGGTTGCTGGCCAGTTCCCAGCAGGGGACACACAAGAGGCAACCATACATTGATATTTCTCTCCCTCTCTCCTTCCTTTCCCCTCTCAGGATAAATAAAATATTTTTAAAAATAAAAAAATAAAATACCCTACATACACCAATTGATAATGTATAGTGTTCATTTTAGCTTCTTTGTTCATTTATATAGCATGAGGGCAAAGGTAATTGCTAGACATGGAAAAAAGAGATGGTGTATTTGAGCTGAAAAGAGTTACCTGAAACAGCTGTTCAACGTCCTAAATTGTTTCCCTGGCTTTCTGTTCAGGTCTGACCCAGCTATTCTGTACAACGACCGGTCTGTGTTGGAAAATCACCACTTGAGCGCAGCTTATCGCCTTCTGCAGGAAGACGAGGAGATGAATATCTTGATCAACCTCTCCAAGGATGATTGGAGGTGAGGAGGAGACACGGGAGAGATTGGGGGCCAGGAAAGGGACTGTGAGGAGAGATGAAGTGTGCTGCTTTGCAGAAGTCAGTTAACTGAGAGTTCACATCTGTTTAGTCTCCTGTCTTGGTAGGAAAGCAATTTTAATATCTGATTTATTTGTTTGGATACATATGTGCATTCAACTTTTTAGGACCTTTGCTAATGAACATATTAGCAGGTATCTACTGCACTTCCAAGTGGGATAACAGAATTCCACTTCCAGCAGGCCAGGTTAGCTGCTAATAAACCAATTCTCCTGCAAATGACAGCGATGAACTACGGACAGATACAAACAAACCAGTAAGCACAGCCCCACTGACTTGAGGACTCCAGGGAGTGAATGAAATCAGGCAATTTTTGAAGGGGTGCCAATATTTGGAGACTATGTCGGGGGAAGTAAGTGTGATGTTTTGGTGACTTTACCCCGAAGGCAGTCTCAGTCAAGGCGACAACAGTCATTGGCTAATCCTGTATTTATAAAAACATCTTCACTATTTTTCTGACTCGAGAGACCAAGGTAGGAACAACCGGAGCTGCTGGTGAGTACATTAGAACCCCAAAGAGATCCAGGTGAGGGGCAACTCAAATTCTGTGGCACTCTAGACAACATGCAAGCAGCAGGAAAATGTGACTTATTTGCAGGGAAAAAGGCAACCAATAGATACAGCCTCCAAGGTGAGCTACTGTTGGAATTATCCGACAAGGGCTTTTAAAGTAGTTATTATATTTATGCTCAGTGAGGTTGAGGACAATATGCTTGTAATGAAATGCAGCAAAATTTAACCGGTGGGATGAAAATGTAGACAAGAGCAAACAGAAATTTTAGAACTGAAAAACTCAATACTTACATTTAAAAATTTTTACTACACTGGCTCAGTAGCAGGTTAACAGAAGATGGAGGAAAGAATTAGTGAACTTGAAAAGAGCAATCAATATTATCCAATTTGAAGAAATAGGAGAAAAAATATTTTAAAAGATGGGCAATTCAGGGAACCATAAGACAGCTTCAGGCTCAAGTTAGATGAGAAAGGTCACAACTAATCAACCATTTTGATTAGAAGTGGCAAAAAATGAACTGATTTTTACTTTCTGTTTTTTACTTTCATCCCTTTTTCTCCATGGGGTGCCCCCGGAAGGGAATTTCGGACCCTGGTCATTGAGATGGTGATGGCCACGGACATGTCCTGTCACTTCCAGCAAATCAAAGCCATGAAGACGGCGCTGCAGCAGCCGGAAGCGTGAGTGGGCGTGTGACAATGCGTTTTTGTGGGCGTTTGCATGGGAACGTGTCCATGCCCTGGGACCTTTAAGGCGTGCCTCCTTCCGACAGCTTTGTTGAATAGCCTCAGGGTGGGGACGTTTGGAGGGGAGGGCATGAGAATTGTACGTCTCCCAGATTCTCATCAGGGTTGAAATGAATAAGAGGGCTGCTAATAATTTGCCCCAATTAGAATTGAAAATATTTCCCTGCAGGAAAGTAAATTATTGAAGAGTCTACTCAATGCAGAAGCAACACAGAGAAGTCAGTGACCTGGGATTTTCATTTGTTCGAATGATGAATGACGCAGTTATACCAGAAATAGTTTTGAGTCAGACTTTGAGGCGTCCGGCTCCGTGAACCTGGAGACCTAGCTGTGGCTAATCCACATGTAGGACGACGTGACATCTTTTCCCCAGTTCAGCTGACAGTGGACTTGAGGCAGAAGAATAGAAGAAATTAAAAAAATTAATGCTTTTTAGGAACAAAGCAGACGGGGGATGTTAAAAATAGTATTGGAAAGGGCAAAGCTAAAGAACTTACATGTATAACCCATGGACATAAACTAAGGGGAATTGTGAGAGGGAAGGGGGGTACCAGGTGGAGGAGGAGAAGGGGAAAATTGGGCCAACCGTAGCAGCATAATCAATGAAAGATACTTTAAAAATTAATGCTTTTTAAAAGAAACCATTATTGAGGTTCTGAGAGTGTGATCATCGTGTGTTCGGTCCCTTTGGGTTTTACAGGATTGAAAAGCCGAAAGCTCTGTCCCTGATGCTGCACACGGCAGACATCAGCCACCCAGCGAAGGCGTGGGAGCTCCACCACCGCTGGACCATGCTGCTCCTGGAGGAATTCTTCAGACAGGTACCTCGTGGCGCTGCTGTCCCCCAAGGCTTTCAGCACTGGATGGTGTCTGGATTCTGTATGTCAGCAACGCTGTGATAAGGACTACTGAGATTCCAGTAATACTCTTTGGGGAGAGAGGGCTTGCAGATTTGTGTGTGTTTGGATATTACTTAAATTCTGATTTTCAGAACATTATGGTATTTCTATCCTATGCTTTCTGTTGGGGAAAAAAAACCAAAACATTTCCTTTTGGCAGTCTTTTGTCAGAATGTCATCTGAGGAGCCTTTTATTTCTTTATTTTTTTAATGGGTTGACCAAATGATGACCAGCTTGGCATGACCCTGTGGGATTAAGATGTTAATCTTTTAACTGTTAAAATTGGTGTGTTTCTTTCTTTTGAGCTGGCAAGCCATGTTGTTGAATTCCAAAGCCAGGTGTGGCAGTTTGGGGTCAGGAAATCAACAAAAGCCACTGTTCCCATTATATTTAAGTTTATTACAGCCTAAGACACAGGGCCGTGTTTTCAGTGAGAACGGCTGGAGTCTTTTATGGGTACACATGGCCTTAAAACATTCTTTTAAAGGCACAAGAAGTAGAGAAATACAAAGTAAAGTAAGTGTGTAGCCCTAAGACGGATGTCTTCTCAAGAGTAGTTGCCATTCAAACCTCTGCTTTGAGACGTGAGGTCCTGAGGTTAAAGGTGTCCCTGCAAGAAACATCCAAACCTGTAGAGAATTTTGATAAGAGTTTCTTTGAGCCAAACTGATAACAGATGCCAGGGGGAAGATCTGAAAGGCTCTGGAGAATGACAGTTTTACAGTTTCTTTTGTACAATTGGAATTAAGGAAGGAAGGAAAAGAAGATCACATGTAGGTGGGAGGAAGCAAGGGGGGAGTTGGGTTCCAGCTAGTTTGTAAGACTATGTGCTCCCTGCAGGATGGTTATGCTTCCCAGGGTCCTGGAAAAGAGGCATGTCAAAGATGTGTGAACCCGGATGCACAGAGACAGTGGACAGGGCTTGCTGAGGGCAAAGATAGACCTTTTCCCAAAGGAGGTAAAGGCCTGGGGCATGACTGCCACCAGGACCTAACTGGTGAGGAATTTATGATCGGATCACCTGTGTGGTCACTTTCAGATTTATTACAGTGCCCTTTTTTTTTGGTCCACAAAGGCAATATATCATGTAGATTGTGGACCTAAATTATAGTTACTTTAAGTTAATATAGTTAATTTGGTTAGTTCTTATTGATTTTAGAACGGGGACTCACATCATGGATTCAGAGACCTCTGAGACTCCATAGAACACCACTGACTAACATTGGTCTCAACTTTGTCTCTGAAACTAACAAGAGATATGCTGGTTCACGGGCTGCTCGGAATTTTTGAAGAGGATTACTCTTATTCTAAAGACTGATTTGACGGAAGACTGTAGAAGTCATCTGCATGTTTTTCTTCTGAGGTTGTGCATGGGATCTGGCGATGAGGTGGGACTACAGATAACACCGTGTTCAAGTCCAGAAGGCTTTTTATTGGAGTTTTTATTTCAGTGGGTTTGTGGCCTGGAACTAACCAATTCATTCCTCTAGTTCCGAAATGTTTTATTTGTAATTTGTGGTGGTGGGGGGCGGTTTTGAGTGGGGTAGGTTTGGTGGAACTTAAAGGCAGGTTGGATTAGATGTTTTCTTCGGGTCATTCCGGTATTAAATGTTCTACATTTTCTTCATTTTCTCTGTGGTGCATGTGAACACACGCACACGCACCCCTACAATGTTACGTGAATACAGCAGCAGGCACCCTGTTCGGTGTGCAGCTGTTTCCCCTTGCCCAGTCAGTACTTGGCCTCACAGAGTGGTCCTCAGGGGGAGCCCCATGGTGCGGGAGGCACTAGAAAAGTACAGGTGTAGCTCTGTCGTAGATACAGGAACAACTCTGCAAATTCATCCTTAATCAAGGGCCTCACCTTGAGCCATTTTTCCAGAAGTTTTTTTGTGATATTACTGAGAACATTTTATCCAAACATTGGCTTCCCTGGTCACGTGCTTTCTTTGGCACTGAAGGAATTTTTTTTTAATTGTGAGAGGGTGAATATGAGAAATCTCTTCAATACCTGAACATTTTTTTTCCCATAGAGGAAACCTTGTTTGTACTCACAGATGCTTGAATTGAGTGAAAATGTGCTAGAGGCAGCATGTAAAGAACTGTGTTCAGTTTCTTGCCTGTTGGGATTGGAATGTTAGCTCACTGGACTGGAACTATTTTTGAGTAATTATGAGTCTATAAATTATTTATATTGCCTTACAATTTGAACCCAGATGTCAGACGCCATTGTAAGTAACCCATGTAGGAGAAATGTTGCCTCACTCCTAACAATAGATTTTAAATCGGACAGTTCAAGTGGGAAATCTCAATGGGACCTTAGAATCTTTGAAAAAATTACATTTGGAAGTTGGCTTATATTTCAAAATAAGGGCATAGCCTCAATGCTGATACCAGACCTTTCAGGCTTTACTAAAAAAGTAAGTTACATCTTTAATTTTATAACCATATTTTACAAAATCCAAGCCACTGCCTCAGGGTGCTTTTCAATGACTTTGAAGAAGTACAAGTTTGCCTTTTTGGTAAACACATATTATAAAAGTCTTGAGGCTCATTTCCACTGTATTGCTGGATGTTTTTATGTTATATAAACATCTCCTATAATTCTTTGAATTTCCTTTTTCTCTGTGGTTATTTTCCCACTCTTATTTTACATTTTGTATATTAGTATTTTTTCTTTGTGAATTTAGCTAATTATTTTATCATTGTAAAATTTTATAATGCCTTAATTCATATTTTCATTTGTATTCATTTCTTCTGCTTGAGTTTATTTTGTTCTTTTGCCAAGTCCTGGGTGCTCAGTTCATTTATCTGTATTCTACCTATTTAATATTAGAAAATATAAGGCTAGGAGTTTGTCTCTTTCTTATCATGAATCTCAGAGATTTTGATATGCAGAATGTTCACAATTACTCTTGTAAATATTCTCTAATTTTGGCTTCGGTTTTTTAAACCCAAGAGTTGCTTCTGATAGAGGTGTTTGTTCATATAATTTTCCAGTGGTAGGTTCTTTTGTTTCCTAGTGTTATTGTTACTTTGTGGCTTATTGAAATTTGATTATAGCATTTTTCAGTGTTTGGATTTTTCCATGAGATTGGTTTGTCACTGACTGTGCAATCAATTTTTGTGAATGTTTGCAGCTCTTAAGAAGTGGGTTTATTTCTTGTTTGTGGAGTAGAGAATTCAAGGAACACCAGGAGCATTTACCTAATTAATTATGTCATTTAGATATTTCCTATATCATTTAAAAGTTGATCGTGGGTCAAAAATATTGACCTCTTTAGTAAAGAGGGAAGTGTATGAATAATTCCACAAGGGCTGGTAGTTATAGGGTCATAAAATATTGTATCAATCAAGTTGGATTTACCTGTAGAAATACATTTTTTCATATTATTTTCCACATTTTCTCTAATTCATAAATGTATATGTCCTCCAAAGGGAATCCAATAACCACTACTTTAAAACAGGCTTTTGATAGTCAAATGTACTTGGCTTAATGAAATCCCCAGATGTGTGTGTTAGGTAGATGTGGGTATGGGCAAGTTTGTGGGATAAGCTATTTAACATGCAATCTTTCAGTAATAAAGTCCGAATGAATGCTAGAAGGAAAGGGGGTGAAGGGAAAGTAGAAGAGGGTAAAGGGGGGATAAGTAGTGATGGAACAAGACTTGACTTGGGGTGGTGAACACACAACCAATCTATAGATGATGTATTATAGAATTGTTTACTTGAAACCTATATAATTTTATTAACCAGTGTCACCCTGATAAATTCAATACATTTTTCTAAAAAATGAACACAGCTTTTCACACTAAGAAAATGCTTATATCTTAATAGTCACGTGGCTAGTGTTCACCACCCCTGCCCATGAAAATGCACCCAGGAAACACCTCGCACCCCCACTCTGTGGGGGGCAAGTGTGGGCTGACCTATGCCACTGCACAAGCACAGTGCACAATATAAATATTCTTCTTTCTGTTCATACTGCTGCAGCAGAAATAGCTCGGGAGTAAATAATTTTTTTCACATCACTGGACAGAGACAGGGGGAGAGAGAGAGAGAGAGAGAACAGCTTTCTGCAGGGCATGCTGGGAAACAGAGGAACCACTGTGTCCCGTGGGTGCCTGTATAGAGAGTGTGCAGAAGGAACCAAGCCCCTTCAGGACTGTTGTTAAGACCCTTGGATGTCTCCAGCACCCACTGTGACCCCACTGTGCAGCTGCCTCAGGCACCCATTTCTTTTCCTTCCTTTCAATAGATGTCTGTGTAAACTGGCATTCTTTCTCTTTGGTGACCTGCCTGAGGAAGAAGCAGCACTGTTTTTCAACTAGGCCTGGTTTTTGAACCAATTGTAAATAAATATACTCTTTATTTACTATTAATTTATTGGTGATATAATCAGAGTGTATTCGACGTGACAAATTCACTCAATGCTTCTCAGTCTTGACTTACACATTAGATATACTCATTGGGAGATAACCATAGCTCTTTTTGTTTATTTGCATACATTTCCTCATTTAATCCTCACTGTAACCTGATGAGGTGGGGATTATTCTCCCACATTTTATAGATCAGAAAACGGAAATGTAGAGAGAGAAAGGCGACTTCCTTTGACCACACAGCTGGTGGGGGGAGGGCCAGATTCCAGCCCAAGTTAGTACCCATTAATCTAAGCAGATTCTCTCATAATAAAATGAATCAACACAATGCCACTTCTTTTAAAGAGTGACATAGGTGCCTTTTCCTCACAGTGTGGGACCAAAATGTTGAGCTTCAGGTTAAGATTTTTAAAAACCATCTCCGTCATTATGTAGACTTTCCGTAGCCCTTGCTTATTACAGTGATGCTTTCTGGTGAGATTGCGGATCACATTTTATTGTTGTCTAATGGGATAAACACAGGCAATTATTCACCACTCTGCTCTTTTGGTGCATGTTTCACTGTGGTCTGAGCCCTGTGGGTAAGAGCCCAGGAGCACCTGCCCTGCTGTGTCTGGTTTTAGAAAGCACAGGGAGAAGAAATTCAACGAGGCCGTTTGAATTTGTGTCTTGAACCCTGCCTGCAGCTGGGAGGAAGTCACTTGCTCCAGAAAGGCCATGGGTGTCAGCACAAGACAACTGGGAAACACCCCGCAATTCCGATTGCCTGGTGACTCAAGACCACAGAATGCATTGCTTTTGTTCCCTTCCTTGGGGCACCTGTCACTGCCTGGTGAGGGTTTTGCACCTCAGCATGTGCCTCTGCAGTGGGATGGAATGACCACTCTCTGGAGGTCCTCAGCCTCTTGGTGTCTTTTGTGCAGAGAAGCTGGACCCATAAGGACTTACTACAGAGTGTAATTGTACTAATTAAAGTAAAGGCCACTGGCCTTCGTGGCACCTGGAGTTGCTATATAAAATCTGGGTGGGTCAGCCTACCATTCTTACTTGACTGTGGTCCCCTGTTTTTCTAGGGTGACAGAGAAGCAGAGTTGGGGCTGCCTTTTTCTCCTCTGTGTGACCGGAAGTCCACCATGGTTGCTCAATCGCAAGTAGGTACGTGTTTGCCAGGCTTTGGATAGAAGGAGAAAGCAGAGAGGGCATCCAGGCACAAGGCCAGAGGCTCCCCTGGGGTCCTCTGGCTGGGGACCTAGCTCTGTTCTGCTGTGCCGTGCTCCCAGTTTGGCTTGGCGGGGGTGGGGGTTGCCGGAGCTGCTCTCCCCGTCCTTCCCCCTGGAATGTGGCTGGTTCATGGAAGACTAGACAGGGGCATGGCTATCTCCATCATTTTCTGCCAAGATTGAAGGAGGCCTCAACTTGCCAAGGCAATGGCAAGAATCAGAGGCAGGAAGCTCATTTTCCATGCAGTGTTGGAAGTCTCCGTGTACTTCTCAGGGACGCTGCCCCCTGACCTTTCCAGGGCAACCCCATTTCCTGAAGGACCCCACTTCCAGGAGTAGCTCTTTTTCAATGTCTCCTCTTTCCCTCCCTTCCTTCCTCCTTTTTTCCCTCCTTTAAAAACTTTTCAGCACCCTTTTTTTTGTGTGTGAGGATAACTTTTGCACTGCTAATAACTATAATAGATGTACATTATAAAAACCCTCAGGTATGACAGAGTGCCCCAGTGACACCTTAGAGGGGTCTGGAATCATTCAAAAATTCAACAAGGATTTGATTTTTTTTTGTACTTGTCTTTTGGATACTTCTTTATTTTTTTCCATAATAACATATGGAATTCCTGTTGGCTACAGAGCATGGCTAGGCACTGTAACAAATGTTCTAAAAACAAAGACAAATTATACATGGTGTCTGCTCTCAAAGTCGTGGAGCCCTTATTGGGTGGTGTGTGGATGTTAGGAAACTAAGGCTGTTAGAGTGTTCTGGTGGTGGGGTAGAGTTTTGTACATCGTACAACTGGGTACAAAACAGAGTGTGCAAATTGTGAGACCCAGAAAGACTTGTAGGGGAGTAATATTTGAGCTGAGTCCCAAGAGAGAAGTAGGCAGTGACTAGGCAGATGGAGGCGTGCGTGAGAAGTGCGCTAGGCGGCTGCAAGGACATTTCAGACAAGGGCATATGCTAAGCAGGGAAATTTAAAACAGTCTCCTACGGCCAGGGAATTACAAACAGTTCCCTGTGGTTGGAATAGTGGGCAGAGTAGAATGAAGTGAGGGGCACATTTGAAGAAAAAAATCAGGCCCGGATTACAGATTACATGAAGAATAGCATATGCTTTATACTTCCCCACAGGAAGTGAAGGCATATGTAAAGCATTTTAAGTAAGGCTATAAATTATATAAATTTATGGGCTCACTCTGGCCCACTGCTCCGCCTTGTAAATAAAGTTTTATTATAACACAGCTAAAGCTCTTTCATTTGTATGTTGTTGATGGCTGCTTTTGTAGACAGTGGAAGAGAGAAGGAGTCATCGTAGATATGGCCCACAAAACCTGAAATATTTACTGCCTCGCCCTTTAAAGGGAAAGTTTGCCTGTTTTTAGAAAGATCTCTCTGTCAGTAGCGTGGAGGATTAGTTGGAGGGTTTGTGTGAGACAAGAGTCAGGGAACCCAGTGGGGTGCCTCCTGTAGGGTGACCGAGAAGAGAGGAGAGTTGGAACTCAGGTAGCACAGGGGCTCTCCAGGACAGCGGCGGCAGACATGATAGGTAGGGTTCGGCTGTACGCAAAGCTAGGGTAAAGGCAGCATGTCAGATTAAGTGGATGGACCATCGTACCATTTATAAAGGCTGAAGGGAAAGCTGATAAGTTCTTTCTGGTTTGAACACAGGGAGTTTAACTTGTAAGAAAAAAATGGTGAAATTGTGTCATCAAATACTCAGTTTCAGTTTCAAATTATACTGCAATTAGCCCTGGCTGATGTGGCTCGGTGGATTGAGTGCTGGCCCGTGAACCAAACGGTTGCAGGTTCAATTCCCAGTTAGGGTACATGTCTGGGTTGTGGGCCAGGCCCTTAGTAGGGGGCACACAAGAGGCAACCACACATTGATGTTTCTCTCTTTCTCCTTCCCTTCCCCTCTCTCTAAAAATAAATTTTAAAAATCTTGTAAAAAATTATACTGCAATTAAGTACAATTCAAAATTGACTACCAGTGTTTCCCTATCAGGATACTATGGGTATTTGATTGAAACAATTCTTGTTTTGCCAGTTACATTGTAGGACTTTTAGCACTCTGCACTGCTGGGCATTCAATGCCAGAATCGCCTCCATCTCCGTCATTGTGAAAACCAAATAAGCATTTGTATGTTTCCAAACACTGTATCCCTTTGATCGGCATTTCACGTCCTTCCACATTTTGCGTGGCTGCGTTAGGAATTACCACCAGGAATGCCAGGCTGTATATTTTCTCCTGACGTGTCACAGAATCAGGGATATCTTTGGGCTGTTAGACAGTCACGGTAGCCCAACTCAACTGCCTCCCTGGCTTGGTGATCGCCCAAAGGTATGGCTCCAGATCTGAGCCCTCGCCCAGCTCTGGTTCTTCCAACTCTCCCTGCCCCTCCCGTCCCGATGTGTCCCCTGTACCTCCAAGTCAGCCGAGCTCAAACCGAGCCCACTGCCCTTCTCCCCAGCCCCCCATTCCCTGGTCCTCCATGTTCCCTCTGCTGTGCAGTTGGGGGTGGAGACCCCACCCAGGGGCCGTGCCCACCCCCAGGGGGCTGTGTGCGTGTATCTGTGTGTCTGGAATTTCCACTTCCAACGAGGCTGGATCCCACCCACTTACCTTTCTTTTCAGCTGTTGCAGCTTCGAAAATGATTTCCCAGCCTCAGACCTTCCCGCCCTCTTTCTTCCCATTCGTCTTGCCAGATTAATTGTCCCAAAGAACATTTTAAAAACCTGATTGTGCTGCTGCCCGAACACTTCAAGGGGCTTCTGTTGCCCGTTGAAGTCCCAACCCTTAGCCAGACGCTGCTGAGTGGACCAGGACCCGCCCTCCCAGGCTCTCCCTACCCAACTCCAAAAGGATCCCAAAGCCTCAGACGCATCCTGCAGTTTCTCTGGTCCTTGTCATTTTGTTTGTCCCACCCCCTCCCCTCAGCCTTAGTGCTCAGCTCAAACATCACAACCTCCATAAAGCCGTTTGCAGCCCTCTCAATAGGAGGGAAAATACCCTCCCTCCCTTACCTTTCTAGGGACCTTTATTTGGGCTTCTCCTTCATTTCTTCCCATATAGACCGTCATGGCCACTTTTGCACTCATTTAATCTCTCCTATAAACTGAGGGCAGGCAGGTTACATCATACATAGTGCCTATCAGAACTATGTATAACTATTATATATGTATAACTACATATAACTGTATGCAACAATTTGTTGCATAGAGGATGTTGAATCCATATTTTTCAGCACTTTATTGAGCTATCTACTAAAAAAGTCAGGAAAGTTCTGTAGGAAAAATGGAACTGAGTCACGGTATTCAGATGAAGGACTGCATTAAATAACTACGACCAGCTTGCCCTCTCCTGCTTGGATCGGGAGCTCCCGTGCAGGGGAACTGTGAAAGCTAGGCCACCTCAGCTTCCCTGGGGACGTGCAGAAAGGCACACGTTACTATGTTGTTTCTCTGGAGCAATGTCATTTCTCTGCAGGCTTCATCGATTTCATCGTGGAGCCCACCTTCACTGTGCTCACAGACATGACTGAAAAGATCGTGAACCCGTTAATTGATGAAACCTCTGAAGCTGGTGGGACAGGGCAGAGGCGTTCAAGGTCAGTGGAGAAGGTTGAGGGCTGAGGGGCAGTTTGGCCTGACCATGAAGATAGAATTCTTCTTTTGGAGGGGGCAGGGGTGTGTTTCATAGTGAGGTTCGCTCTACCTCCTTCTTATAAGGGAGGTGCCTGCCTCTTCCTTTTCTCAGAGGAGTTGAAATTATACCATTGCTACTCTCCGGGCTGGTCCATAAGGGGGCAACCGTGGTCTAAATTATGATTGGCAGGTACCTAGGATAGATAGCATCCCTCCCATACTCATTATGTCTCTGCTCCTGGCAGGTTTAAACATCCCAGTCCCATTACTTATTAGCTCTGCAGTCTCAGGCTTGTTGCCTCAGTTTCTTCATCTGAGAAAATGTGGGCCGTCAGGACCCGGGGATTTCAGGGCCATGACTCCATGAGTGTTAACCACGGGCACGCGTTTTTCAAACACTAACCCTCCCCTTCCGCCCACCTCGCCAGGCTGATTCTGTGTGTGTGATTTTTCTCTTGTCCTGCAGTTTGAACAGCATCAGCTCGGCAGAGGCAAAGCGGCCAGGTGTCAAGAGTGCTGGCTCGGAAGGAAGCGCCCCGATCAACAATGCTGTCATCCCTGTTGACTGTAAGAACTTTAAAGTCACTTGGACCGAGGTCGTGCACGTCAATCGGGAGCGATGGAGGGCCAAGGTGCCCAAAGGTAACCTCTCCAGTAGACCTGTCCACACCTCTGAGCACCCACTCATATCACAAGCAGTGCCACCCTGACTTACAGGTGCTGCAAATGAAGCGGGATCTCAGGATTCGGATTGCTGACTTGGTAGCATCTGCCCTTTTTAAATTTTTACTTTTCAATGACAGTTGACATTAAGTATTGTTTTATATTAGCTTCGGGGGTATAGCATAGCAATTAGACAATTATGTAATTTACCAAGTAGTCCCCCGGATAAGTCTAGTACCCCCCTGGTACCACACATAGTTATTACAATATTATTGACTATATTCCCTATGCTGAACTTCAAAACCCTGTGACTGTTCTGTACCTACCAATTTGTGAAAAAGCTTCCACCCTCTTTTGAGCTTCAGTACATCCAAAACTCGGTGCACGGAGAACAGTGCAGACCTCCACATGCATGACCTTTGTGTTCTGTGACTAAACGCCTCCTGGTCTGAAGATTCTGAAGACCTTTCTTGGTTTCGGCGTGACTGTCCTGTCTTTCTCATTCCACATTGTGCGGCACAGTTATGGGGCCTCTATTCCCCCTTTCATTTAAGCAAAGCCTGTCCAGTAGCCGCCTCAGTCCCTGTGTTGGGACAGCAGGAGTTGTAATTTCCTTACGTGTATTTTGATCTTGTTTTCATGTTCACAATCTCCCTTCTCAGTACTCAGACTGATCTTCTGAGATGAAGGTAGCTTGCAGGTAAACAGTAATTAGCTGAAGTAAGCATCATCAAAATTCAGATCAGAAAAGTCGTGACTCTCGGTACAATGCTCAGAACAATGATTGTCCTCTGTGTTTCTTGGAAGCTCAGAATCATGTGTTCATATGTGCGCTTGTGTTTGGGGAGCATGTTCTACAGGATCGGCACATGCTGCATACCCACACTGTAGTCTAGGTGAGGATGCAGCCCCGAGATGAGGTGTATGAAGCCAGGAGGCCCAATTCCAGGGCCACGGATGGCTCTTGGTGCTCAGTGAAGGGGCTGACCCCCGTGGATTTCCTGCAACAGCAGTCATCTTGTGCTAACATCTGTTGAGTGCCCACTGCGTGCCAGGTTCAGTGCCAAGAGTGAAGGCAATGAGGAATAGACTTCCTTGTCATCAACGCTCATAGTCTCCTGGCGGGGGAGGGGTCATTGCTACAGAGTCTCTTTCAAAGGAAGAATGGCAGTTCAGTCAAGGCTTTGCACTTGTCTCTGCACCCACTGAGACACCCACTGCAGGCAAGGCGGGTTTTGTCCCCAAATACGATGTTCCATACTTTTATCTCCCTGGGTCTGTACAACAGGGCGGAAGGGAGGAGGGGCTGGCAGAGCAGTTCTGGCTGTCTCAGTCCCTCGGACATTGGACATCGGGGGCGGCTGCTAGTGTGGGAGAGAACAGACCCCCCCCCCCAGGAGTTGGAGTGACTCAAAGGCCAGTCACTGGGACTTTCCATAAAGTCCTGTCCGGGTGGCCACTCTTTTCAGGTGGGACAATGAGTTTATGTTCATGGTGCTTTAAAGGCATCATTGGACCCTTTTTTCAGGACAAATGTTGTACCTTGAACTCTGGAGGAGCGGATTCCTCTTCCATATTTTCAAAGGTGCCTCTCATAGTCCATCTCACAGTCCAGGCTCAGTGGCAATGGCAGCCACTCAGAGGAAGCCCTCACTTGTCATCAATTACACTCATTACACCGGAAAACCTATTTCCTGACAACACGCAATTGAAAGAGATACTTCAAAGTCATTTGTTTGCAATTATCTGGCTTACTGAAATTACCTCCTGCAACTAATCACCTGGGGGAGCAGTAGACAGTGTCTTTACTGGGGAGAACTGGCCCTTTAAAAAGGACAGGCACATCAACAGCTAATACTTTTTGAATCTATTAGGTACTCTGATAGAGATAATGCTTAAGCTGTTTTGCCTCATCCGTAATCCTGTTTAGGGTGTTCAGGAAGGCATCCTGTGGCCAGGATTTGCAGCAGCCTGGATGAAGGTGGTGTGCAATGTTTAGAAATGGGGAACAGGGGGAAAGTGGATAGGCAGAGCCCAGGTTGTATGTATTTTGTGGGAGGATCCTTTGGCTATCAAAGCAAACTCCAGATAGTGGGGTAAGGGAGAATTTAGTCCCCACTCACCTGCTGCTCTTTGGCAAATGCAGGTAGAGTCTTAGAAAATTCCACTTGGGAAATGATTATATACATCACAAAGCTGACGCAAAGAGCAGAAATAACATATGTGTATGTGAAGAATGGCTAGTGCCTGTGAGTGGAAGGGAAGGCTGAAAGCAAAGTTAAGACGACGGTGGTGAAATACGAATGTATAACTAATGCCACTGTAGAACATCTCAGCCTCCCAGCAATGCTGGCGACCGGTGACTGGAGTTAAGAAACACCCGTTCACAACTGTTTTCCCATTAGTCATCAGTTTGGTTCGCTGATCCAAGGCCGTTTTGCTCATTGTTCTTTTTTTTAGAAAACCCTGACATCGGGAAAGCTTCCCTGTGGGGAGCACTTGAACACACATGGTTATTAAACTGATCAAAAATGGGATTGGATTAAAGTCTTGGTTTTATTAATCAATGTGATTTACATAGCTAGGTAGGCCAGAATGCATAGTTATTAAGAAAGATTAAATTAGTATTCTTTATAGCTCCTAGAGCTGAAAAATCATTATTCCCAAACATTGTAGGTCTGATCAATGTTGCCAAATTTTCATTCATTATTTAATACTTGTAAACCTTTTTTTCTGGTGTAAGAATAATTTTTGTTTAGGTTATAATGCTGATGTATAAATTAAAAAATATAGAGAGACATAAATAAAAATCATAATCTCTCTAGCCAGATGTAACTCTTGCTGGAATGCTGATGTGATTCTTTTTTCATTCGATTTACCATGCATTTCCACACCACAGCTGAACCATTCCTCTACTGCGTGTCTTGTTTTCAGCTCTTTAATATTGTGAAGATGCAAGTTCAAAATCTCTGAGCCTACCCCTGATTATTTGTCTAGGATAAATTTCTACATGTGGAATTATTTTGTCAAGTAAATGAAAAAAATTTTTAAGCTTGATATCTCTTAACAAGTTTTTCTCAGAAAGTTGTTTTAAACCTATGTTCCCTCCCAGGAGTAGTGTAGTGAGAATACCTATTTCCCCCTTCATATTTCCTGTTGAGATTTTAATGTCTTTATTATTGATCCATAATAGCTCTTTACATGTTAAGGATGGTAATTCCTCAGGTGACGAAATGCCTTGTAATCTGTGGCCTGCCCATTTGCCATCTGCCTTTTAACTTTGTTTCTGGTTTTTTTAAATACAGTCTATTTCTATTTTACTGGATATTACCATTATATTTTGTATGGAATTATGTTTCAGTCAATGTAAATACCAAATAGTGTGTAGTGATACTCCTTTCAAATGCTGAGAAGTTTAGTAAATTTTCACTTACTTTCTTCATACCCACTAATTTTTGTTGAAATAGCATGAGATTTTCAATCTAGGTGATTGTAAGTAAACTGTTATCTTATAATTAACTTGTGATTTAATATTGTTATTAATATGTGCATCAAGTTTTATTTCTAGCTGGGCCACTATTATTTTTAAACACTAAGATTTACTAGTTTTATTGAACAGTGTATTTTCCTCATTCTTAAGTTTTTAATATTGAATTTTTCTGTCATCTGGAGCATGTCTTTGGCTACTACTTTTAGAAGGTGGCCGGGGACACCTCCCACGTCCTTAGATATCTGGAAGTACCCTTCTGTTGTCATTGTACGTAATTGAGAGTTCAAAATCAATATAGTATTTTGGTTATTTTTTCAGTTAGTAGTTTCTCTCTCTTTCTTTCTCTCTCTGTTTGTAAATAGTTTAAATAGTCATTTTAGAAAATTATACCAAGGAACGACTATCCCACTACTGTTTTAACCAAGCACCTATAGTATCATTATCCGGAAAGGCAAATTAAATGAAGAAATCAATGTATTTCTCCGAACTGTGCAGGCGTTCAGTGTGGCGTGGAAGTGGTACTCGGGGGACTGTAATTTATGGATGAGGAGGGCTCTGTTCCACGTTAACTAGCTGGTTGCGTCTGGCCATTTCATAAGGAGTCACCTCCCAGACAGTCTGAAATGGGATTGACCTACGCGTTTGCTTTCTGCTAGCCTAGAAGCCTGGGGGTGCCAAGGACGTCAAATCCAAGACCTGAAAATTTAAGTCTCTGCGCCTATGCCATTGCAGAAATCTGTTCGCATGTTGAAATTGTGCTATCGCTGACTTTTTCTCATTGGAGAAAATTTATGTATATTAATAATTTCACCCTGGAAATATAAGGGAATCTGATTATGGTGGAACAGACCCGTCTCCTGTTGATTTAATTTCTTTTTTCTTACTGAGGTGTATACTTGTTTCTGTCTACTTGTTTTGAGTGATATCACTTTGAGTGCTGATGGTTGATCACACTAATATTAGACATTTGAGAAATAAGAGGAAGAGGAGGAGGTAGAGAAAGTGAAGGGTGATGCAGAGCTGCCCTCGTGGAGCGTGACTGCTGCAGGGAAGGGAATCACGTAGTTGATTATGATGTCATGAGAGCTACCACTCGTTAATTTAAATATTAATTGCCTGCTGTCAGCTGTCGTTGAGCAGGAACAGATTTGTTTCTGAAATGTGCCCCCTGCCCAGTTTTCATGTTTTTGCTAGATTTCCCGTAGAAAATTGGTCTGACTCAGTTGTCAAGTGAATTTTTCTTGCTCAGATAATATCTGATGCTCTTTTGCTGCAAACCAGACTTTAACATCTTCAGTTTTTAACCACAATTATGTTTAACTTGGGGATGTTTTGAATGCTGAAAGTTTGCCACAGTTTCAGTGGAGGTTCTGTGAGGGGGTTATAAATTATTTTCTCTTATGAATAAATTCTCTTCCCCCAGCCTCAGTTTCCCTCTCTGCAGAGTAAGCACAGTCATTTGTTTCCTCACCACGTGAGTGGTTAAGGAAACCAACGTTCATCCGATGGATAAACCCTGTCAGCATAGGACTTAATGTTTGTATGCTCTGTTCTTTACACCCTTCTGGAGGGCCGACGCTAGAATATGTACAAGACAGGCTCTTTGGCAGAGACGGTGAATCCCCACTGTGTACCTTTCATGGAGTCAACAAATGCTCCAGGAGCATCCGCTGTGTGTCAGCTGCCATACCAAGCCCTGGGAATTCAGGGTGGAGGTGACATTTGACCTTTGTCCTTGGGGCACTACAGAAAGACAAGAGGAAGTCTGGATGAACGTTCTAGCAGGCCTTCTGTGGCCGGCAGTCTGCAGAGCATGCCAGCTCACCACCTTCTCCTGCAAGTCATTGTCTTACTCTTTAGTTGTACCTTCTGTAGACATCAGAAGACATAGTATACGACATATGCACATAATTATGTTATTTGGGAAAGACATCTTTCTTTACCTTTTTGTTGTAAATTAAAAATGCATCCTGTTGGGAAAGTAGAATGTCACACAATATCCCATGGCAATCATTTAAATTCAAATCAGTGCTTGTTGACCCTGTGTGTGTGTTGGAATCATCTGGAGAACATTTACAATATCCTAGCTTTGCTCTCCTCCCTCCAGAATCTGATTTGTTTTGCCTGGGGTGAGGCCAGGGTATCGGTTTGGGTGGATGGATGGATGAGTGAAGGACAGGATGAATGAAAATCCCATACTGTATTAGGAGCACATCTGAGCCAGGCCCAGGTAAGGGCAGGAGAGGTGCAATATTGTTTTATTGCTTATCAGGATTATTACTTCCCCCCATCTTCTCTTCCAACCCACTGATTCCAGAAATAACATAACTATGACCCAACTTTATTTTTTTCTTGAATATAAATGCCATTGTGAAAAATAAACCCAAAACACCCCAGTAGCAACTTAGGTCATTTTAGTGTATTATTGCCAATGCTAATAGTAGGTTTGGGGCAAAGACGCAATTCTCCTAATGGTGTGACCTGTCTTTATCTTCTCCACGCCGTCCCTGTCTTGCCTGGACACAGAGGAGAAGGCCAAGAAGGAAGCTGAGGAAAAGGCCCGCCTGGCGGCCGAGGAGAAGCAAAAGGAAACGGAAGCCGGGAACCAGGCAGAGGACGGTGCAGCTGGCGGGGCGGAGAAGAAGATGTCCAGGGCAGCTCCGAGTCAGGTCAATGGGACGCGCCCCAACAAAAGCAACAGCTCTCCTGGGAAAAACTCCAAAGCTGAGAAATCGTCGGGAGAAAAGCAACGGAATGGTGAGTGGCACTGCCCCGGGGACGGGCTCTCTTCCGGGTGTTAATGACACGGTGAATGGTGAGTGGAGACCGGAGGACCACTGTGCCTGCCAAGGAGGACAGCTCACAGGGTGGGGCTTCCCCAGGTCTAGCTGCTGCTGGCCCCGCCTCCCTGGACTGTGGATCCATCATCATCACCCGGTCAGGAGCAGCCTGGGCCGTTCTTGCTGGGGGAGATTTATTTTTGGGAGGCCCTTCCTGTTGTTCTGGAGACTGACCAGTGCCTATGTGCCCACTGGGGAAATGACTACTAACGGTCCCAGCCCAATCCTGAGTGCTTGCAGCCAAAAGAGGGTGGCTGGGAGGTCAGTGTCCCATGTCCACCCTCCCCTAGCAGGGCTGGGCCTCAGTCTGCCGATAGTTCCTGGAACCAAAGTCCCTGTATCTGCAGCTGAATTAGGATACGCACTGGGCTAACCAGCCAGCCCACTTCTCCTGAGACTGAGGGGTTTCCTGGGATGCAGGGCTTTCAGTTTTAAAACTGGAACAGTCGAGGGCAAACTGGGATGTGCAAACAGTTGCTGGGTTCTTTTATTTAATGCAACAAGTGTTTATTGAGTAACAACTGCACCAGCCACTGTGCTTGGCACTAGGGATTTAGAAATGGAAAAGCCACCTGAAGTCCATGATTTCATAGGGGGAGGTAGACATTCTTAGAGGTTAATTCTAGGACAATGCGAGCCAGGAGCAGTGGTGGCATCGCTGATGAGTGCCCAAGGGACACATACAAAGAGACGTGGTGCTGTTGGATTAGAGGATTGCGGGATTGGGGTGAATGTCAGGGAAGGCTTCAAGAGAAGGTGATGTCTGAGCTGCATTTTGAAGTCCTGAAGTTTTCTGGTCAAATGAGGCACAGGGAGCCCCACTGTGAAGGGGTTACCTTGTCTAGGGAAGGGCAGGAAGTTCAGTCTCCGAAGCTTTCAGGTGTCAGGTTGCAGCAACAGAGTTTGGCAGGAAAACAAACGTGCCTGGATTCAAGTCCTAGCTGTGCCTCTCACTGCTTGGTGGCTTCTGCTGGGCCCCTTCACCTTCCACTCTGTCTGCAAGTTGTGCATGGGCCACTTGTCAACTTTCAATAACAATGACAGCCAAAACAATGCAATAGAATAAATAGCATTAACTCTACACCAGGGGCGGTTTTAAGTTCTCTCCTTACATAGTCATTCTCTGACCTGCCTGCTAGGGCCAGGTGCTCTAGCTATTGTTCAGTGCAGCTTGAGTAAACAATAGTATGTAGAAGTGCTTAGCACAACTCTCTCCAATTATTTTTCCAATTAATATATATAAATGTGAAATCAGAAAACAGTATTTTAATGCCTATATTACTGATAATATCCCATGTCAAGTTCAAGGATGTTGCATAAATTGCCTCAGGCAGCTCCCATGACCCCTGCAGGTGTCAGGGAAGGCAGCCTGGTTTCAGAAACTGCTTGTAGCTACTTTGCTTTGTACTCAGGTGCATCATAGTCCAGAAAATATGCTCAGTTTAATAAGAATTTATGATACCCCTGTTGGAGTTTTAGGGAGCTCTGCAGAATTCTTCTTCCCCTCCCAGGGTCAGAACCAGCCGACAGAAGCACCAGACTCAGAAAGCTAGTGCTCACAGTATTAGTTCCGCTAGAACTGGAGCTGAATTGGAAAATGTGGTCTTGGTCTGTGGAGCATACAGGCTTCTTCGACATCCTCCCTGAACTGGGCTCAGCCAACCAGACCTTGGCGGGGCAGGCGAGCTCAGGACACGCCCCTCATGCCACTCTCACCCAGCACCCAGCACCAGCACCCAGCAGGCTGCTTCTGGAGTGGCAGAAATGGTGCATCTCTCGTGGAAAACACACCTTGAAGGGGCCGGGAGCTGGGCAAATGGGTGACGCGGCTGAGCTGAGTAGGCAGCTCCTGCTTCTGGGCGCATCTGTCCTTCACAAAGGAGGAGCAGAGAGAGGCTGGTGAGAGAGGCAAGACGTGTTCCTTCTTGACTTTGTTTATTTTAGGAGCATGGGTTAAATATGTCTTTTCTGTAGTAAAATCAGGCAGTATAATATTGCTCCCATTTAGTGAATACTTACCACATGCCAGACATTGTTCAGGATATTTCATGTGCAGTAAATCATTTAAAAATCCTGCCCACGCTGTGCAGTACATACAGTCTTTCCCATAGTTGGTTTTTTATTTTTTATTTTTTTCAGGCAAGGAAACTGAGATTCAGAGAGGTTAGATCACTTGTATAAGGTCACGCAACCAGTAAGAAGGGCGTTCGGGTCCAGTTCAGGTCTGTGGGAGCCCCAGGCCTGAATTCCACAGTCAGCCTGTCTCTGCAGCTGCATGTCTTGGTGTCGCTGAGGCGAGCGAGAAACAGGGGAGCTCTCGGGGCTCAGCAGCTGTCCCCAGGAGCCTCCTCATCCGTCTGTTCCAGGGGTCAGCGCACTCTTCCTGCACAGGACCAACGGTGAATATTTCAGGCTTCGCAGGCCACACGGTCTCCATGGCAGCTGCTCAGTGCTTCTGTCCCCAGGCGAAAGCAGCCACAAGTAATACACAAACAGTTAATGTTCCCATAAAACTTTATGGAAATCGAGGTTTGAATTCTATATAATTTGCACATGTTGTGACATATTCTTCTTTCTTTCCCATAAGCACTTTTAAAAAGGGTAAAAACCATTCTTAGTTTGTGGGCCACATGAAACTGGGCCAAGTTTGGCCCACGGGCCAAGGTTTGCCAATCCTGGTCCAGGCAGGGAGAGAAGCCAGTAAACATGAACCTCCTGGTCACAAAGAGGGCCCTGGACTCCATGAGGTGGGGACAAACAAATACCCAGAGGGACAGAGGGGGCAGTGATTTATTCTGAAGATGGTTGGGGAGGGGCCTGAAAGAGACAAATCAGGGGCCAGGTGAATTTCACAACTGTGTATAGTTCCAAAGTGAGTGAAAGTCCACCATTTCCCTTAAAAATTAAGTATAAAATGAGAGGTGGGGAAAGCAATCAATTTAGAGCAATAATCAGAAAGGCTGATGGTGGTGCAGGACTGTGTTGCAGCAGCCTAATTAAGATGATTTATAACGGCACAGGAAGGCTGTTTTGTTTGCCCTGCTTATTGGGTAGCAGCTCACATAGGCCATTATTCCATATACAACCCTTTGGGAACTACCTAATGGGTTTCATTCGAGAAACGTTATCAAATAAGTGTCTGTCGCTTTCCTGGCACCCTTCTTTGTGGCTGTCCAAGATATTGCCAGGTTAGAGCTGAGGGACACTGGTTGAGTGAGGTTCTAGGGGTTTGGTCCTATAGCAGCAATTATGGGATTTTCTAAACTTTGGTCTCCCTCAGGGCCCATCCCCACCTCAGCCCCCCCCCCAGCCCTGACCCAGGGGAAGGCAGGCTGCTGCAGGCTGCTGGCTAGCATCTGGCAGGTTGACCCACTCCTGCTGGCTTCGGGAAGACATCCTGACCTTGCCGCAGCTGTGGGTAAAGCTGCAGTCCAGGGCAACTGGAAGGCTTAAGGCAGGGTGCATCAGGGGTCTGAAGGCTCATTTCGTCCAGAAAGGTCATTTTCCTGCAGGGAATTTAGTTTGATTACAAGGCTCAAGATCCTCGCGTCCATCCCTCCTCCCTTATAACAGAGACAAGCAAGTATACAGACAAGACACAGGCAAGACAAGCCTATGTCATTGTACCTCAGGGGAAATTCATCTCTTCTGATCACTGGTGGTGGTAGAAGGTAATGACCACCCCCTTTCCCTAAACTCCCCCTGCTTGTGCCCTGCCCTTCCCCTCCATGCCTCCAGCCAGTACCTCCTATTTCAGAATTAAGAATAAGAGGAAGTAGAGGGTTTATTGGCCTCTAACTTAGTTTAGGATTTTTCACATTTCATTAAAAGTACTTATTTTGTAGAATACACCTCAGTCAAACTGGTCTGGAATTTGCCTTAGGTAACCATTTATAAATCTGAAGGCCAAAGGCATTTAGAAATGGCAACATCAACAGAAGCTTGAAATCTAAATCTCGAGCTTCATCGGGAAGTTGCAGAATATAGCCGTTGGGAGCCTGGCCTCTAGAATCAGACACATCTGGGTCTGTTGTGGTGAATTGCTCTGTTTATGCTGTGGCTTCCAGCACCATAAAGTGGAGATGATAGGAGTTTCACATCAGTACTTTTTATTATTATTATTTTATTGTCGTTCAATTACAATTGTTTGCATTTTCCCCGCACCCTACTCCCCTGTACCCCAGCCAAACTCACCTCCCTCCTTTGATTCCACCCACCACCCCTCTTGTTTTGTCCATGTGTCCTTTATAGTAGTTCCTAAAAACCCTTCCTCCCATTATCCCCTCCTACTACCCCTCTGGTTACTGTCAGATTGTTCTTAATTTCAGTGTTATATTTTGCTTGCTTTTTTCTTTTGTTGATTAGGTTCCATTTAAAGGTGAGATCATATGGTATTTGTCCCTCACCGCCTGGCTTATTTCACTCAGCATAATGCTCTCCAGTTCCATCCATGTTGTTGCAAAGGGTAGGAGCTCCTTCTTTCTCTCTGCTGCGTAGAATTCCATTGTGTAAATGAACCATAGTTTTTTTTATCCACTGAGTTACTGATGAGCACTTAGATTGCTTCTAGCACTTGGCGATTATAAATTGTGCTGCTCTGAACATTAGGGTGCATAGGTTCTTTTGTATTGGTGTTTCAGGGTTCTTAGGATATAATCCCAGCAGTGGAATTGCTGGGTCAAAAGGCAGGTCAACTTTTAGTTTTCTGAGGAAATTCCATACTGTTCTACAGTGGCTGCACCAATCTGCATTCCCACCAACAGTGCACTAGGGTTCCCTTTTCTCTACATCCTTGCCAACACTTGTTTGTTGATTTGTTTATGATGGCCATTCTGACTGGTGTGAAGTGGTATCTCATTGTAGTTTTAATTGCACATCAATTCTTTACAAGTTGATTTAAGCAAAATCACTTTGTGGAAAGATGAATTGGCCATTTGTCCAAAAGTGTCAGACAGATGTCAGGTCTACGGTAGACAAGAGGAGCAGCGTCACTGCCGGGGGAGACCCACATGCAAGACCAGGGGCAGAGGCGGGGCAGTGTGTGAAGCACAGGCAGGCGGGCAGTCACTGCCCTCAGCACGTGGACTGACCCGTGTGTGACAGGGTGGCCGCGGTGGAGGAAAACTCCAGCTTGGAAAACATCCTCCATCATTTGATGAGTTTGTTATTCAGCAGACTGATCATTTAGTGAATTAAACATTAATGATTTTGCCTCCTTGCAATAACAGCACCTTCATAATGGGCTTGTTACAAGATTTAATGGAGTGATGTCTGCGAAGCATTCAGCACACTGCCTGGCACAGAGAAAACAAAACAGATCGATATATCTTGGGCCCTGCTTGCTCCTTTCTGGTTGCAATTATTATTAGGCTCTTTTTGCTTCAATAAGTACAAGTATTTTAGTGGTAATGTAGCCTTGGTTTTATTTAGGCTAAAAAGAAAGCTATTAGTACTTGGTAAGAAAAACACCCAAAATTGGAAAGAATAACCTGGGGAGCGGGGTGCCATGTTTTTCTGTGCCACACTGGCATACTGATGAGCAGACCCACTTGGGGAGTGTTTATCGAGGGTTTGTGTGTCTCCTTTGCAGCTGTTCAGCTCTGCCACTGCGGTGTGAAAGCAGCCGTAGGCAATACATAAGTGAATCGGTGTGGCCATGTTCCAATAAAACTCTATTTCCAAAGACAGATAGCAGGCCAGATATGCTCGGGGCCCATAATTTGCTGACCCCTATTCTAGGACAATGTGACTTTGTTTCACTTTGTCACTACTATTTGATTCAAGCCCAGGTACGGTGAAGCTATATGCTAACTTATAGACTTTTGGCTGGTAGAGGAGATAACCTCAAAGGTTATGGTTTTATTGACTTATAGTATATAACCAGGTTTGTCTCTAAGCTAGCAATCTTATTTAATGTAATTCTAAAATACCTATAAGTACTCCGTTTCTTAAATACTTCTGGAACCCTCCTTACTATTTGACTCATTCTCTCATAAATTTAAATGTGGTTTTTTTGCCATTTTCATTTGGTTTTTGTACACATTGTTTTTTTTTAACTTTTACAAGTTATATTTCAATGAACTCCTTGATTAGAATGGCATTTATAACTGGTTTAGAACAATAACAACTGTCATCGAGTGATGTCAGATGCCACGCTCGACACTTAAAATGCATTTCTCCGTATGTCTTTATGCCTCCAAAGTAGACACTAACATCCCCTTCTGCAGATGTGGAGAGTGAGACACATGAAAGTTAAAAAGCTGTTAACCGCCATAACTTACACTTAACCCAGGCTTCTCCTCGCTCTACACCAGCCTCATTGAGGATAAACACCACTGACTTAACTACAACCTTGTTTAACAGGAACTTTCAACCTTCATTTCCAGGACCTAGTCTGTGGTTTGGAGGATATTTATACTCAGACATGTGCCCCCTAGTGACCAAAACGATGCTGTACTTTTTCCCATTTGTTTTTATCTTCACAGGTTTAAGGATGTTTATGACTTCCTCCTTAGGGGTCTACATATTCTGTTTTTGTCATCTTTTACTTTCAGGTGACTTGAAAAATGGTAAAAATAAGGCAGACAAGAAGGATCAGTCCAACGTCGGGAATGAGTCAAAGAAAACAGATGGTAAGGGCATAATTCTCATTTCGTTTTCTATAAATGTGCCATTTAATGCCAGCTTGTTAGAATTGTACCTGAAATTGAAGTCCTGGTTATTAATATGTTCTTATATTATACCTTGCAAAAACACTATATTTAAGGAGCACTGTTATTCCTTTTTCAATAACTTACAAATTATTGTTGCATCTCTTCCCTCCACCACACTTTCTCCATCACAAATGCATTCATATTGCCTTTTCCCACTGCCACTGTTTACTGCAAACTTTATGAAAAGTTGATTCTGGACTTGCTCACTATAATGGAATGGCACATGAGTGGCTGATTGTAAATTGTGCAATACAAATGAGCAATGTGCCATGTTTTCAGTTTCTTCATTTTTTTAAACCTTCAGTGAGTTATGATTGTTGGTGGAAACAAGCGTAGGAGTGTGTGCAGTGTTTTCCTTATGTGAGGGGGGCGCACACTGAAGAAGGGCAGAGCTATAGAACACAGGGCAGTGCCCCCAAACCAGTTAGAACCAGAACCAGTCAGAACCGGCCTTGTGATGGGCTTCATGCGCTACTTGACCAACATCCCACTCTGTCTCAGCCCTGAGAGTTCAAAGGATATTACCCTCCAGACTTTGAACTGTCACCCAGACTTGCTGAATCTTCCCTCCCTGGAGACCCTGCAGGAAATACTACACCCTCCTCTTTGCCCAGTTTGGTGATAATGCCACAGAGGAACCGGTGCTGGTAGTCAGGTTGCGGGATAGGAAGACATTCGAACACAGCTTGTCACTCACACTCATAGGCAGGAAATTAGTCTCAAAAATGTTTTCTAAGATCGTTCAAATAATTCAGTCCAGTGTCTTATCACAGACGTGGGTAATTTTTTGCCAAGTTGTGCGAACGAAAACCTCTTACCTACTAAACATGCCATCCTTCCATGACCGTACTAAGCTGTGAATTATGTGGAGATATATAGAATCGTCTTACCAGACTCTGTCAGGGGTGAAGTTTGTTCAAGTACCAGAGACTTTATGCTGTATATCGTTAGCTCCCAGGCAAGGTTAACACAAACCAGAAAGTACATGGTAGTGAATGGTGTTAGCTCTGAGCATGTCACCTGAAAACCTCGCCCATCCTGTACCCAGCACCTTGACCCATCTGAATTCCTACAGTACAAAGCCGAAACACCAGACCAAGTCCCAAATCTTTAATATGGAATCTTGAATTTTGTTACATTTTTGTATTGTGCTATAAATATCCATTAGAATGTTGTTATGTGGGGATTGGGATTGAATTTTATTATCTTCCTTAAGCACTTTTATTTTACCTGTACCCTTTTAAACCCCAAATATTTGCTCCTAAGTATATAAAATACACAGGTTTTTTTGTGTGTGTGGGGGTGATGAAATTGATGTTATGTTCCATTATACAAGTAAGTATAAGGCTTCACTGTTTAGTGAGCTGGATTCTTGATTCCATGGGGCAGTGAACAGATGCAGTAAGTAAAGAAGAGACATTTCCTAACATCTGTCCACGTATCCCTTTGTAACTGCAACCTTCCACTGCTTCAGATGGGGTCTGGTATATTCATGCACTTTCAGGTTTGTGCCCAAACTGGGGTGTGAACAACTTTGTATTTTAATTTCATTGATGGACTGAGGTGACATCAGTCATTATCACTGCTTTGTTACCATCAGTACTGGGATCACTGAGCTTTAGTTGCTGTGGTCTTAGCCCAGAATCTTTACCAGCACTAAAGCTAATTCTTGGTGGCGTGAACTAGCAAAGAATCTGATCAGTCTCACCTACCCCTTCCCCTTTGGTCATCAAAGCAAAGTACTTCAGAACTTTTTTAATGGTATATAGGTTAATATATGTATTAACTTTTAAAAAACCTATCTAGTAACAACTAGATACATTTTGAATATTCCTTTTTAATAGACCCTATTATATGTGATGACTGTGGGGGTCAATTTAACTATCTCTACGCCCTGAGCCCTGATCCAACCCCTGGGAAACGATGGTGACCAGCTCTAATTTTTGAGAGGATGTACCCAAGCACAGTTCAGTGCGCAGGGTGATCAAACCCACTGGGGTTCAGAGGTTCAACATTCTATGCATTTAGAAAGAAATTCGGTAGAAGTGGACAAGAGCTGGTGATTCACAAACTCCACTGAGTGGAGGCCCTCGGGGCGGGGTGGGGGGGAGCGTGTGCTGAAGGGTAAAGGACACCCTGGCTTTGTGCGCACAGAGCACGTGTGTGTCACCTCTGTCAGGTGCCTGCAGCACTAACTGTCTGACTGACTGCAAAGAATGAATGAAACATCCAATAAGGGGTTAATTTCCAAAACCTATAAAGAATTTGTACAACTCAACACCAAGAGAACAAAGAATTTGTTTAATTAAAAAATGGGCAAAAGACCTGAATAGATACTTCTCCAAAGAGGACAGACACATGGCCTGTAGACATATGAAAAGATGGTCAACATCACTAATCATCTGAGAGATGCAAATTAGAACCATAATGCGATATCACCTCATACCTGTCAGAATGGCCATCATCAACACATCAACAAACAACAAGTGCTGGCGAGGATGTGGAGAAATGGAGCCCTTGTGCACTCTTGGTGGGAATGCAAGTTAGTGTGGCCACTGTGGAAAGCAGTATGGAGATACTGCAGAAAATTAAAAATGGATCTGCCTTTTGATTCAGGACTTCCACTTCTGGGAGTATATCTGAGAAACTCAAAACACTGATTCAAGAGAATATGTGCACCCCTATGTTCATAGCAGTATTATTTACAGTAGCCAAGATTTGGATGCTGCCCAAGTGTCCAGCACTAAATGAGTGGATAACAACGTTGTGGTATATTTACACAATGGAATACTACACAGCCATAAAAAGAAGGAACTCCATGCTTTGTGACAGCATTGGATGGAACTGGAAAGTATTATGCTAAGTGAAATAAACCAGTTAGAGAAAGAAAAAAAACCATATGATTTCACTTATATGTGGAATCTAATGAACAGAATAAATTAACAAACAACATAGAGAACAGACGCACAGATACAGAGAACAGACTGACAGCTGTCAGAAGGAAGAGGGGTTAGGGGACTAGGTTAAAAAATGAAGGGATTAAGCAAAAGAACAAAGCAGATGCAGGTAACAGTATGGTGAATGCCAGGTGGAAAAGAGGGAAGGGAGACAGGAAAAAGGACGAAAGAGCAACACATGGTGATGGGAGACTTCGCTTAGGTGTTGAACATCCCTGTGAAGCTAATGTTTTACAGAGTTGTACACTTGATTCCACTATGGTTTTATCAACCAGTCTCACCCCAATAAATTCAACTAAAAATGATAAGCATCCTTTGAAAATACCTTGCTTACTCTTAGGAAGAAATACACTCACACACAAAGATCTGGGCTTCTGAGCCAAGATTCTCACAGGGTCTAAATTTTTACAGTGTCATTGAGAGACCTGTGGGGTGCCACATGAATGAATCATTTTGGGGGCTCTTTTTGTAGCTACACTTGAAACACCCTAGCTTCCTGAACCTATTCTAATTTTTATAGTTGCCCTGAAATAAGGACTTGCTCCTAACTTTACCTGACTGCATTAACCAAGATATGAACTAACCGCTGTTTGTGTCTCCTAAAAGATTGATTAAATTCTCTTTAAATTGATCTCTAGAGTCCATGTAATCTCAATTGGAATTCTCATAGGCTTTTTTTGGTAGAAATTAATAAGCTAATTTTAAAATGTATACGGAAATGCAAAGCACTCACAATAGACAAAGCAAGTTGCCAAAAAAAGGGAAAAGTGGGCCTGGTTTCAAGACATACAAAGCTGTAGTAATCAAGCATCAAGACAGACAGCTGGATCGATGGCGAGTCCAGAACTCGATCTGTGTGTATAACATATGGACATGTCATTTTTGACAAAGGACTTTCTGTGGGGAAAGGACAGACATCAACAAATGGTGACAGAACAACTGAAAATCCATATGCAAAGTGACGAACTGTCTATACTTCACATTAGATACAAACATTAAATTAAAATAGATCATGAAACAGATTATTAACTGAAAATGATCATAAAAAGGACCATAAACATAAATTTAAAATACGAAACTTCTGGTTAAGAATACAGGAGAAACTCTTTGTGGTCTCAGGTTAGGCCAAGATTTTCTGTGTATGACAAGAAAAGTATAAGCCATATAAGAACAAACTGATAGATTATACTTTATAAAAATTACAAACCTCTGCAACATCAAAACCATCTTTAGGAGAATAAAAAGATAATCCACAGATGGAAGGAGAATAATTTCAAAAGAATATTATATTTCTTTTTATGTTTAGGATATAAGTCAATCTCAATATCCAATAATACAAAAACAAGTAACTCAAGTAAAAACATGCAAGAGATTTAAACAAACATTTCACCAAAGATGATATTCAGCTAACGAATAAGCACCTTAAGAGATCATTGGAATCATTAGGGAAATGCAAATTGAAAGTCAAATTGAAAACCCATGTGGAAAGAAATCAAAACACAACTTACATTAGAGGGAGAGGGTTTTGCATTTGTAACAACCTCTCAGGGCAGTTTGGTCAGCTCGTTTCTTCAGTGAGGAAATGGTGTTCCTTACGTCCAGTCCTTCTGAGTATTCCTCCCGTTGCTTATGTTCCCCTCTTCAGAATCTCAGTACAGGAAAAAGGAAAGAGACAGGAGAGCCAACATTCTGATTAGTTTGTATAGAACAACTACTTGTGATTTAAAAGTCCGTTGCATACATTAGAGGATATTACCCGTGATTTGATTCTTCATGAGACTGGCATCGCATGACCTGGACTTGCCACAGGGCTCACCAGAGGCACCTAAAGAAATGAACATGTTTTTCCTGTTTTCCTTCCAGCAGATCCCCACCAAGTTAGTTTGAAATGTACATAGGTAAATGGAATGAATGACTTGAAGTTTTTTAGATGTCTTTCATTCTATAGAGTGATGTAACAAG